TCTGCGCAGGTTTGAGCCCAAGTCGACGCTGCTGGGCTCGCACTATTTCATGCATGCGTTTGGCTCCATCTATTCCCTCTCCTACGGTGTGGTTGAAATCCTTAATGCCATCCCAGAGGACGGGTGAGATATGCATCATATGGTTACTGTACTGATCCATGCCTTGTTGCTATTCTCGTTGGTGGAGGTGCCAACGATTGCCAACGATTGGTGGAGGTGCATGGATATGAGCGGCAACTTCATTTCCAACGATTGGTGAGTCATGCATGCCTTGATAACAGGAGTGTCGCGCTTATCTTGTAACGAGGTGGGATGTATAGCGCTTATCTTGTAACGAGGTGGGACGACGTATATGGAAACCCGATCCAGCACAAGAACTGCAAGGAAAAGCTTTTCTTTTGTGACTCTCTTGATCGCAGGCTGAGCATGTTCACAAACGAGGATGTGTCGGTGGGAGCATGGATGCTCGCTTTTGACGTGATTCACGAGAAGTCCTACGCTCTCTGCCGTAGAAACTGCACCCTTTCTGCTGTGGCTGTCTGGGATACTCTCTGCGCTGGCCTTTGCAAGCCTGATGTGCAGATGAGGGAACTTCATCAAAATCCCACATGCTCTGGAAAAAACACATTCTAGGTTCTAACCTCTGGTAGAGTAGCAAATGCATATGGAACACAATCTGGCAATTGCAGATGAAGCAGCTATATCGTAATCCCGCGTGCTGTGGGACAAACGCAGTTTGACCTCGTGTGATTGACCAAGGAGGAAATGTCGAGACACAGTTTGGCCTCCATCCATCTATTGTTGCCATCAATTTGATTCGTTCAATGGCGTGCGTATAGTGTGCTTAAGGTCGTTCCACTCAAGCTGGGGTTTTTGCCAAAATTTAAATGCCATCCGCTGTGGCTGTGCGGGAGATGTATCCGAGAATAGAGCCAGTTTAATTTCTGTGTGAAAGTTTAGTGTACTACATAGAACCATGGCTTACGTAAGCTTATTATACGAGTTCCTGCGCAGCTGTTCATCGAGTTACTTTGTATCGCATTCTCGAATTCTGTTTTTTGTGTTCCAACCCCGCCTGTTCGAATCTTTTTGGTCACTTTTCCCAAACGATCACCGCTCATCCCCGCTATGGTAGCTCTCGATTCGTTTAACTTCACCCGCTGATGGGCTCCAAGGGTCAATCGTCCGTCGCGCCGCGAGTGCTGACGTCATGGCGCGTCTCCTTGTCCCTCTGCTGCACTCCCCACAGCAGATTCGCTTCCGCCAATCTCCGTTGCCTCTTTATAGTCCTAGCCGTCCCGCTCTTTTTCCTTACAGAGATTCTCATTCTAAGATATAGCTGCTCCGCTCCCCCATGGTCGAGTAGTAAATCAGCCGCGTTTAAGCCTGCTCAGGCGATCGCGGCGATCGGACCGTCGGCGGAACCGCGATTGGTGGACGAGCGGAGTGCAGATCGGTTGCGGTACCCGGGCAGGAAGCGCGTGCTGGGGTTCGTCGGGGTGCAGACCGGTTTTGGGAGCCGCGGTAGACGCGGGCTGCTTCGCGAGACGTGGTTCCCCGCCACGCCCGAAGATCACGCGCGGTAGGCCGTGAGTGGCGAAAGCACGCGCGGTAAGCCATGAGCGGCGAAAGCACCCTGTGACCATGCTACGTGTCATTAAGTGCTGTCGCACTGAGACGTTTCAGGACTCAGTGCTCACCCCTGCCTGTTTTGAGACGTCTTTTACTCACTTCTCACCTTTCCCTGCTTCGCGACACATGCTTCCCCGCCACTTTTCTAATAGAAGGTTGTATTTGAGACGTCTCAAAACCAACTTTTTTTCATGGCAGTAGCGCATTGGACGCGCAGATTGATGTGATGCGCCCTCCTTGCTCGCCTTCCCGGCTCTCTCCCTACTCGCCCTCCTTTTGCATGTCTCTTAGAGTGGATGCAGCAACGGGGCTGGTGTTCCGGTATATTATCGGGCACGGCAGGAGCGCCGTGGACGAGCAGATGCTGCAGCCGCCCTGCCCTCCCCATCGTCCCCTCCCCGTCCCCCTTCCCCCTTCAGAGTGGAGGCAGCAACCGGGCTGGTCTTCCGGTTCATCATTGGCCATGGTAGAAGTGCAGTGGACGAGCAGATGCTGCAGGCGGAGAACAGCACTCACGGGGACTTCCTTCGCATCGATGTTGACGAGGCGTACCTCAACCTGAATCACAAGACGTAAGGTGCTCGCTAGCTGGTAGTGTGTGTGAGGTGCTCGCTCGCTTGCTGCTTGCAACGTAAGATGCTCGCTGATATTCCGCTTCTTCCTCACATGCTGCTACTACGTTGGAAGCTTCTATCGTCGCACCGTCGCTCGTACCTCTCACGTTCTTGCTGTAGTTCTGCCAGAAGCTCTTTGGATTTTTTAAATGCCTTCCACGTTCTTGCTGTTGTTCGCCCACAAGTTCTGCTTAACCTTCTTCATTGCTCTGGTTGACTTGTTGTAGTGTCTTTTTTTGAAGTTCTCTATGTATATGTAAGTCTGTATATGTATACATATAAATATGTATATATATGTGTCTGTTGGTGCGTACATATGTAAATATATTGTATTCAACTCTCCTCACTCCTTTCCCCACCTGCTCTCCTATCCCCCATCTCCCAGTCTCATCTACTTCACTTCTCTCTTCAAGCTCTATGAAGCGGAATTCTACGTCAAGGCAGACGACGACATATACTTGAGACCAGGTTGGGGTGTAGGCAGGATTGTGCTTGGGAGCATTCGTTTGTTAAAGAGGATGGAGGACCATGTGTTGTTGGCCGCATTGATCGACTTCTGAGACGCCTCAATACTATCTTCTTTGAAGAATGTGACGCTGTTGCAGAATGTATGTTGCAGAAGAATATTGAGCGTCCCCTGTTCACACAAGTTTTTGATCACACCCTCCCTCCCTCTGCTGCCTGTTTCTGTTCACCCCCTGCAGACCGCCTCTCCTCGTTGATCGCCAGGCCAAGAATGTCTCCTCGAACCTACCTTGGGTGCTTGAAGAAGGGAGCTGTGTTCACTAACCCAAAAATGAAGTGGTGAGTTGCCGTATTAAACCTACATGCATTGGTTGCAGTGCATGTTGGTGCCTTTCTCGGCCCGTAACATACAATGGAATTCATGCCTGCAGTTGTCGTGCCTTTTTACTTTCTCCTTATATACTTCTTGACGCAGTCGTGTGCAATGACCTCTCTGCTGCTCTCTTGAGCCATCTTTGAGAACCATGCAACTCACCCAGTGCCACTCCTGTTAATTACTCGGTCGGAGTACCTCCTGCATGCCTGCTCGAGGGGGATGACCTCTCTGCTCCTCTCTTGAGCTATTATTATTCATATTATTATAATTATTATCATGATTATTATTATTATTACTATTATGTCCTGTGCAGGTTTGAGCCCAAGTCATGGCTGGTGGGGTCGGAGTATTTTCTGCATGCCTACGGCCCCATCTACGCCCTCTCCTACGACGTCGTCAACATCCTCAACTCCATCCCCAAGGGCAGGTGAATTGTGCTTGTCATGGAATGTGGTGAGCCGTGTATGTATTTCCTGGATGCCCGGGGCCACATCCGCGCCCTTTCCTACAATGCGGTCAAATTTCTCAACTCCGTTCCCAAGGGCAGGTGAGTTATGGATGTTTCAGATTGAATGAGTCATCGCTGTGGTTCATTGAGGTGAGTGAGCCATGTCTGGTTGGCAAATTGCTCTAATGCACAGGTAGGAGCTCGGATTGGAGTCGATACGGCACTAGCATTGCAAGTCAGGGTTGTTTGTTAATTTTAAAGCCCAGCGCTTACTCTCCCGTCAATGTTCTCGTTACTGTCACAATCGCAGGCTGAGGATGTTCTTGAACGAGGATGTGACTGTGGGAGCATGGATGCTGGCCTTCGATGTGTCGCACGAAATGAGCTGGCCTCTCTGCCAAAATAACTGCACGGCCACCGCTGTGGCCGTGTGGGACATGCCCACCTGTGCTGGCCTTTGCCACCCTGATGTGCAGATGAAGCAGCTACATCAAAACCCTGCATGTTCTGGAAAAGAAGCAGTGTAGGAATTGTACACATGAGTGGAATATGGGTACCAGTATTGTCTATAAAATTCAGTGAACCATGCGCGTATATGGCCTGGATAAGAGCTGGACTATGTGCCCCTAGCTTGTGGGAGATACCTATCTACCCCTGCCTTTGCTTGAGCATGCCTAATCAATTACCAGGTTTGAGCATCTGTGATTTGCAGTTTGAAATACTGAACACCCAGACTGAATGGGGCGTTAGTGAGTCGCTCAATAGACTGAAGCTTACTTTTGTTTCGAGCCCCGTTGCGCTGCGCGAAAAGAAACCGAGCCAAGGCAAGGGCTCAGGCTCGCTGGCAAGCCGAAGCACACCCCGGACCTTACAGCTCAGATCAGGCCCAATCACTGTCAGCAGGCATGCCAGTTTCTGGGTTTCCCGCCACCGATGAAAATTTCCATTCAAACCCATTTTGTCAGATGCCAGAACCTAACTTGATCATGCTCGAGCTAGCTATCATACGGGCTTTGAAACCAAACACCACACACACACCCGTTCACGTTTCAGGACTAGTTGAGAATTCACACAATCTCTTAGGGTTCAAGTGGTGTTTCCACATTCACCTTCAAGCCTGAAGGCGTAGCCGCTTCCTTCCGAACCAAACCAGACGTTTCGTTTGTGCCGAGCCTGACAACAGCGTTTCCGTCCTCCTTTGGTCGCCGCCGCCACTCCCCGTTTCCTTCATATTCTTGCTTTCGCTCTGCATTCTTGCTTCACTGCCAGTAAACCATCTAGCATAGCAACTAATCTTGGAAACTAGATTCAACACATCGGCGTCCCACATCTTTATTCCTGTCCATTCAAGCACGTCTCGTGCCGCATTCTGTGCATCATTTTTATGAGTTTGCATTGTAGCTTTATTAGCTTCAAAGCTAGTTTTCGGGCCAGGATTTTCGGGTTAAGCGCTACACGACGCGGCATGGCTCATTGGTCGCTCCCCGCTGTTGAACCCTTTCCCTGCGCTCTTCAAGGGTCCGCGCACTCCCGCAGCGCGGTCCGAAAGCGCGCCGAGTCCCGTCGTCGCGACAGCTACTACCCGTCGCGCGTTGCTCTGCTCGCCTCGTTCCTCCTGCTTCGTCTCCCCACTTCCTTCGCCGTCCTCATTGACTCCTCACAAGGTACAGCTGCGAGTCGCCGCGAGTCGCAAGCTAGCTGCGAGTCGCTGCGATTCGCACGGTACAGCTGCGAGTCGCCGCGAGTCGCAAAGGTACAGCTGCGAGTCGCCGCGAGTCGCAAGGTACAGCTGCGAGTCGTCGAGAGTCGCAAGGTACAGCTGCGAGTCGCGAGGTACAGCGCGAGCCGCCAGGTACAGCTGCGAGTCGCAAGGTACAGCCGCGAGTCGCAAGGTACAGCCGCGAGTCGCAAGGTACAGCCGCGAGTCGCATGGTACAGCTGCAGATGGCCAGTCTCACTTTGCGAACCTTTCGTCCCGACGCGCGCCTCTCCGACTTCTTTTTCCACCGGAAATTGCTTCCTCCCATTAACCATCGCAAAGTATCATGCCGCGCTGCTAGAAGCGTTCCTGAATCCCCCGTCCGCGGCGTCCTTCGCGCCTCGACTGCTAGTAGTAACGCCGCCGACGCCTGCCACTATCGGCGCGCTCTGGTGATTAACGTCTGTCTTAAAACAGGGCTGACAGCGCACCGTTCGCCTCTGAATAACCGCAGTTTTGGGCCAGTGGTCTAGAGCACTGGGGGTGACAGCGACGCTCCCATTCTACTGAAGCGTGTGCTGCCCGTTCTCCGTACTGAAAAGCTGTCCACGGTTTCCCCAGTCCCCGCTCTTCCCGCTGTCCCACTTTCCGTCACCTCATCTCCTCCCCCCCTCTTCCCATCTCTGCACCTTTCCCCCGCCGTCCCATCCTTCCTCCTGTCCCTCACCCTCCCTTCCCCGCCGCCGCGCAGTCCCCCCGCTGCTGGAGATGCAGGCGGGGTGGGGGGTGAGCCTCAACGAGTGGCGCGCCAATGGCAACTGTGATGCTGCCACGGGGCTGGCATGTGACGATGGCGGGTTTGTTGTGAGCATGTAAGTGACTTCTCTTGAAATTCCTCAAAGTCTTTTTGAGGCGCCTCAAAAGTCGTCTCTCTACTTCCAGTGGCAACTGCGATGCTGCCAGGGGGCTGGGGTGTGACGATGGCGGGTTCGTCATGAGCATGTGAGTGAGGAGCATAGGAGTGATGAGAATGTGAGTAAGGAAGGAGCATGCGAGTGATTCCTCTTGAGTTGCATCATAGTCTTCTCTTGAGTCGCCTCAGAAGTCGCCTCAAATGTCGCCTCTCTACCCACAATGGAAACTGCGATACCTCCAGGGGCTGGTGTGCAATAAGAGCGGGTTCATCGTGAGCATGTGAGTGACTTTCTTTTGAGGCGCCTCAAAAGTCGTCTCTCCTCCCTCCTCCATCCCTCCTCCATCCCTCCTCCATCCGTCCCCACGCACGTGGCAGGACTCTCACAGCGGAGCAGGTGCCTGCAGGGCTGCCAGGGCCCTTCCCCACGGCCATTGGCACTCTCACCCACCTCACAGACCTGTGAGCCGCACAGCCTTCCTTCCTTGTCCCTCCATCCCCACACACACGCAGGACTCTCACAGCGGAGCAAGTGCCGGCGGGGCTGCCAGGACCCTTCCCCACGGCCATTGGCAGTCTTACCCACCTCACTGAACTGTAAGGCTTGCAGCCCTCCTTCCTGTGCATTGCTGGAACTCCTTACAGCCCTCCTTCTACTGCGGTAACTCTTAATCCCTCCCTCCACTGTGGTAATTGTTACACCTATGCTCATACATAGTGTATTGACGACTGAACGTGCCAGCCAGCCAGCCAGCCAGCCAGCCAGCCAGCCAGCCAGCCAGCCAGCCAGCCAGCCAGCCAGCCAGCCAGCCTAGGTTTGTTCGGCGCTTGTACAGTCTCCCCTGCAGAGCGCATCCTCTTGTGTCGACCCGACCCGTCCCATCATCACTAGCTAACCGCCTGCTCATCTCTGCGCCATGCTTGGCTTGTTTGTTAGTTTGTTGTGTCAATTCATTCCTCCTGTTCGTTCCTTTTGTCTCATCTCATGCATTCGACGAGACGCGGCACTTCTCAACATTTGTTGAAATGCAACGTGCAGGACGCTCGACCTGAGCAACGGAACTGCCTCCATTCCCAACGCCATCAGCACCCTCCGCCACCTCGCCGCCCTGTCAGTGACTCGCCGCCCTGTCAGTGACTCGCCGCCCTGTCAGTGACTCGCCGCCCTGTCAATGCCTTGCCGCCCTGTCACTGCCTTGCCTCCCTGTCGCATCTCTTCTGTATGCAAGATCGCTCGTCACGTGGAACACATGGTTGCTAGCAGAGACTCTTCATTATCATCCCCTCTATAAGCATCTCCCCCACGCTTCTTCACGACATGCATCCACCCCCCCATGCTGCTATCCAACCCCCCATGCTGCCATCCATCCCCCCATGCTGCCATCCATCCCCCCATGCTGCCATCCATCCCCCCATGATGCCATACAGGCGCCTCTCAGGAGCAGCTCTCCGGGGCAGCGTGCCCTCAGCCGTCGACCAGCTCACTGCGCTCTCCTCTCTGTCCGTGCCTCTCCATGCCTCTTCATGCCTCTTCCTGCACCTCCCTGCACCTCCCTGCACCTCCCTTCACCTCCCTGCACTTCCATGCACCTCCATGCTTTCATGAACCGTGCACGCTCTCTTGCGCCCCCATACCTTCATCATGCATCATCACACGGCAAGTCTGCTCACTCTCAAATCCTCCCTCATTATATTCTTTCTTCCCCTCTTCTTCCGCCCTCTTCTTTTACTTCCTTTTATTCTCCACTCAGCTCACTGACAGACAGCATGCTCACGGGCTCCATTCCTGCCTTCCTCTCCGCACTCACACAGCTCACAGAGCTGTACGTTCTAGCTGTCGACTCAGATGATGCCTGACACTGATGCTCACTCTAACCTCACACGCTCCATTCCATTCTTCCTCTTGGCGTTCACACACCTCATTGAGCTGTACGTTTGATTACTCAACTAGACATGATCAGTGAAGTGAAGCCAGCCAGTGCTTGCCATGCCATCCCAGGACTTGCCATCCCATGCCATCCCATGCCATGCCATGCCATGCCATGCCATCCCATGCCATGCCATGCCATCCCATGCCATGCCATGCCATGCCATCCCATCCCATGCATGTCATGCATGCATCCAATCCCATGCCATCCCATGTCATGTCATGTGGTTACACCCTCGTCATTGCAGGGCCATGTATAACGGTGCCTTCAATGGGGTCATACCTGATACAATCACATCCCTCACTGCCCTGCAACGCCTGTACGTTTGCCACTCCGGGAAGGAGAAATCTAGCCTGCATCTACAATCAGTAAGGAAAAATATATATTCCTACAGTGTTATTCTCTCCGCTGCAATCACTTGTATCAAACATCCGTCACAGCCTTTCAGTTGGGCCCTAAAATATAAAATGGTAATAAAATCCTGCAAGTGCCAACGATCCTCTTTAGTAGCCCAGCAGCGCCTGCATTGTTTTTCACACTTTCAGGTGCCGTTACAGATGTGGGTACACCTTTGTTTCTTCCCCTGTCTCTCCTCCCCTTTCTCTCGTCCCCTGAATCTCTTCCCATGCACCCCTACAGCATGTTAGCTCACAACAACTTCACAGGCAGCATTCCCAGCGGCCTCAGTGCACTCAACAGCCTCGAGTACCTGTGAGTGATGACGCTCCCTCTTCAAGTTCGTGAGGTCTTCACTACTAAGTTTTGAATATCGGAATGGATTCAGATTTGAAGCATGGAGGATGTTTAGTCGATTTGAGAGTCACCTCTGTCTCGCCCTTGCTTGCGTTGCGAGCGTTTGTAGAGGCTAAAGGTGCTCAAAAAGGTCCAAAGAGCATCTTTAGTGAATTCTTGTGTTTCCCCCCTGCCTGTCCTTCCCACTCTCCCCCCCAGGGCCATCGGAACCAACCCCCTCTCAGGTGCTCTCCCGGCCACCCTTGCATCGTTGCCTCTCCTGCAATACTTGTACGCCACTTACCACAGCACACCACCAGAGAGAACGACCAGTCTAAACAGGCAATTTTACAAGTGCCTAAAGAATCGCTCCCGACTGCCCTTGCATTGGTGCCTCTCCTGCAGTACCCGTAGGCTGTAGGCCACTCACCAGAGTAGATACGAGGTGACTGACTTTTGAATCGACTCGAAAGTCACTGCCCCTCCTGCACTACCCGTAGGCTGTAGGCCACTCACCAGAGTCAAGAATGGCAAATGGGGCACGCACTGTAGAATCCTTGCGTATATCAGGTCAAGTATGGAGTATTGGGTGTAGTCACTTCCTCCTTGCTCACTTGCTTGCGTGTGTGCACCGCTGCATCGCTGCATTGCAGGGATGTGAGTGCTGCAAATCTCAAGGGTTTCATCCCACCTGCACTGGGCAAACTGAGTCGGCTGCGCATGCTGTGAGTGTGGCATTGGCAATGCTGCGAGCACGCGACTTGAGACGTCTCAAAAGTCCTCTCCTTCCACGCGAATTTGTTTTCATTCCATCTCACCTGCACTGGGCAACTTGGGTCGGCTGCGCATGCTGTGAGTGTGGCAATGCTGTGAGTGTGGCAATGCTGCGAGTGCGCGGCTTTTGAGACGTCTCAAATGCCGTCTCCTTACATGCGGATCTTATATTTTAGGGTTCCATCCCACCAGCACTGTTCAGCTTGGGACGGCTATGTGTGCTGTGAGTGTGCCGGCGCTTTGAGTGCGTCTTGTGAGTGTGCGTGCTGCGAGTGTGCGTGCTGCGAGTGTGGCAATGCTCTAAGTGCGCTCACTTCTTCATCACAACACTTCAAAACCATCGCCCGCTGTAACTCACATGACCACCCATTTTATCGAATCGCCCACTGGCAGGGCTCTAGGCAGCAACCAACTCACGGGCGTCATCCCTCCGTCCATTTCTGGCCTCTCTGCCCTCACCTCCCTGTCAGTCAGCCTTCTCTATTGCTCCATTTCCTTAGGAATCAATTAGGCCACATCCATGCATCATATTCCACTGTGTGCCATGCCCATACCCCACGGATCACAATATTCGAGGCGTCCCCAAAAGCGTCATTTATCCCCCCAAACTGCCCCCAGTGTAACCCTGGATCCTTCAAAGCTCAAATTGTCCGCATTCTCCCATCCGTCCATCCTCCCGTCCAGCCACTCTCGCACCCTCCCTTCCTCCCGCCCTCCCATTCTTCCAACCTCCCTTCTTGCCACCCTCCCACTCTCCCACCCTCCCACTCTCCCACCCTCCCACTCTCCCACCCTCCCATCCTCCCATCCACCCTACCTCCCACCCTCCCACCCTCCCACCCTCCCATCCTCCCGTTGCATGCAGCAACCTGGCCGGCAACAACCTCACAGGCTCCATTCCCCCCGCTATAAGCCTCCTCGATAAGCTTAGTGTTATGTGAGAGATGGCGGCTTGCTGTTTCGTATGGTTACTTGTCGCTTCTGTATATGATAAGTCCAGTCTTGTTACTGCTGTTTATGTCATGACGTCATCCACTTGACTTGATGCCTCTAAGTGTACAACTTATGTACCACTCTTTCAAGCTCTACCCAATGTCTGCAGACTAGTTCAATGCAATGCTACTTCATCACTTCACACGTGCCGCTGTGTTATTCAATGCCATGTAGCATGATGCCATCTTTAACGCTTGCATGATAATGATGCGTGTAGCACCAACATGTTGTCCTTTTTGTGCCCCGTCCCTCCAATTCATCCCCTTCTACCGCCCCTCTCATCAATCCACTTCCCTCCCCTTTCCCTCCTCCATGCCTCCCATTCCCCGCCAGAGATCTCTCATACAACCTCCTCGCGGGAACCATACCTGCTGCCGTCCTCAGTGCCCTTCCAAACCTCTCTTCCATGTACCCACATCTCACCCCCTGTGCATGCACCCACCGCTCACCCCATGTGCATGCACCCACCGCTCACCCCATGTGCATGCACCACCGCTCACCCCATATGCATGCACCACCGCTCACCCCATGTGCATGCACCACCGCTCACCCCATTTGCATGCACCACCGCTCACCCCATGTGCATGCACCACCGCTCACCCCATTTGCATGCACCACCGCTCACCCCATTTGCATGCACCACCGCTCACCCCATATGCATGCACCACCGCTCACCCCATGTGCATGCACCACCGCTCACCCCATGTGCATGCACCACCGCTCACCCCATATGCATGCACCACCGCTCACCCCATGTGCATGCACCACTGCTCACCCCATGTGCATGCACCACCGCTCACCCCATGTGCATGCACCACCGCTCACCCCATGTGCGGGCGACAGCTCTTTCCTGCCTGATATTCTGTCTCTCCCATGGTCTCAGCTGATTCTTTCCTCCCATTCTGTATCACCCATCATCGCATGCATCATCCATCACCAATAACATCACGCATTGACCTTCGTTCCATGTGTCACCCATGCTGACGTGGCAGCAACTTGGGCAACAACCAGCTCACGGGCCCCTTTCCACCGTCGCTTGCCAACCATACAAGTGTCACATTCATGTGAGTCCACGTCAGCCTCATCTGCGTCCACATCAGCAATGCCGTCAACCATGTCAATGCGGGATGCTTTCCACGTCAGCTTCAGCATTTGACCCTCGTGCCACGTGTCTTGTGTCCGGTGCTCAATGCGAAGCAAACACCCCCCATTCCATTCCAACATTGCACCTCACCCCCACGTGCCCCCTCCTGCTTGCTTGCTCCGTTCTCTCCCCTCTCTCCCTCACCTCTCCTGCCCTACCATCCCCGCCCCTCCCCGCCCCTTCCCGCCCCCCTTCCTCCTCCAATCACAGCGGCCTGCAGAACAACCACCTCACCGGCTCACTGCCCACCTCCCTCTCCTCTCTGCCCTCCCTTGTCTACCTGTCAGTGCTGCCTTCCTTCACTACCCTCCACACTCCGTCGCATTCCTTCACCCTTTGAACTTCCCTCAAAAGCTCTGCTCCTCTTGTCTGCTCCCCTGCTCTGCTCCCTCGGTTTCCCTTTCCCGCGCTGAGCCGTTTGTGGTTCTCACCAATGTCTGGGTGCCACGTGGCAGGTTGTTAGGAACCAACAACATCTCAGGCTCCCTTCCAGACAGCATTGGAAGCCTCTCCCTTCTCAGCAACCTGTAGGATCCCATGCAGCATTCCTCTCTCACAATTTTGGGTTCATCCCATATATATATGTATTTATACACATACATATATATATTTATATATATATGTATATATATATATATGTTTGCGTGTATGCTTGTTCCTGCACCATGTGCGGGTTTAAGTTGTGTGTGTATACTGCCTCTTTCAATCACAGTCCTCTCACTGCCTCCGGTCTCGTTCTCACCTTCCCCTCTCCTGTCTTCTGTTGGTCCTCTCCCCTGCCCTCTCCCTGCCCTCTCCCTGCCCTCTCCCTGCCCTCTCCCTGTCCTATCCCTGCGCTTTCTCGCACGCCTGCCCCGCAGCGACATGGGTTACACCAGCTGTCAGGCCCTTTCCCCTAAGCCATATCCAACCTCTCGCAGCCATTCCCTTCCTTCTCGGCCCTCCGCCCTTCCCCTTGTTCCCACCCATCCCCCCCCCACCCCCATTCGCTACAGCGACATGGGTTACAACCAGCTGTCAGGCCCCTTCCCCTCAACCATAGCCAACCTCTCTCGCTTGCGCACACTGTATGTGTCCTCTCTGCTCTTACGTCCTCTGAAATATCACCTGCGCACACTCTACTCTCTCTGCTGCAACCTAATGTCCCATGATTACAAGCCAACCTTTTCTCTTCTTGCATTAACTCCACACTGAGCAATTTCTTTTGAAATTTCTCAACAGCAACTCCTACGAATGCCCTTCCTGATGCCGTCCCGCTATGTGCAATGACCCTGTGACAGCGTGTAAGGCGCCTCATATTTCATGCGTAGAGGAACCTTCCTCTGCAGGTGATGCAACCTTTCACTTCTCACGCACCCTTTGCCCACTCGAAAGTGATGCAAGTGTATCATTCGTGCAATCTTTGTCCCTCCCTCCCTCCCGCTCCAACCCCCCTTCCCTCCCCCCACCCCACTTCGCCCCTGCATGCAGGCGCCTGGGCAGGAATCACATAGAGGGCAGCCTAGGTCCAACCTGCACCATATATGAGACGAGTTCTGAGTCGACTCAAAGCTCCTTCTCCTTCTCCACGCGTGCATGCAGACGCCTGGGCAGGAACCACATAGAGGGCACCCTGCCAACCAACCGATCATCTCTTGCTCCCTCGCTCCCTCACTCCACTCCACCCTTCCTTCACCCTCCACTCAGAACGCCTCTTATGTCCCCACGCGCCCCCTGCATGCAGGCGCCTGGGCAGGAACCACATAGAGGGCAGCCTGCCGTCTCTGCACCGCATGGCTAGCCTCGAGTACATGTGCGCAGGGGTGAACAGGGGGCGAATGCGGGGGGGATTGGGGGAAGGGAGGGGAAGAAAGGGGGGGGGGTGGGGGAAGCGAGAGAGGAAGTGGAGGGCAGCCTGCCGTCCAACCTGCACCGTATGGCCAGCCTTGAGTACATGTGCGCGGGGGTGAATAGGGGGAAAGAGAGGGGGGTGGTGAGGGAAGGGGAGAGGGGAGAGAATTGGGGGAGGGGGGAGGGGTTGGGGGGTGAATGGGAGGCGAATGGGGAGAGCGGATGGGGGGTGGACTGCTGCATGTTGTCATATTCCAATCCAAACTTGCATAGGGCTTGAGCACTTGAGGGCAACATCAACAGTACCATAGCATCATACCATGTGCAGTGCAGTGCACAATACCTGCTGCCAGTGCACTCCCCTCTCCACCTTTTTTACTTCTTTGACCGCTGCCCTCCAACGTTTTGACTTCTTTGACCGCTGCCCTCCAACGTTTCAGACTTCTTTGACCGCTGCTCTACACAATGTCATCCCCCCCTCGCTGCATCATCTCTCAATGATTGACCTCACTCAATCTTTCTGCATCACCTCACCCCTCTCTGCATCATCCCTCTCGAATCCTATCAACACCTTTCGCTTCACCATCCCACACCCCACACCACCAGGCACTTAACACAGAACAACCTCTCAGGGCCCATCCCTGCAACAATCGCCAACCTCACTTCTCTTTCCTTCCTGTCAGCGCTCTCTCCTCTCTCCGCCCCTCCTTCCCCTTTCTATCTGTCGTTTTTCCCTCCCTGTGTCCTCCATCCGTCCCTCCTCCCTCTGTCCTCTTATGCTGCTGGTCACCACCACCCCATCCGTCCCGTTCATAGAAATCCCCAGTGTAGTCCATGTCCATGTGTTCTACGTGTGCCTCCAAATAGACGTGTAGCAAACGGCCTCTCGTCCTGTGCAATCAGGCCCATATCTGTCTCGGTCTCAGGCCCGACTCTGCAATGCACATCATGGCATCGGGGGGGGGGCATGGGAGGCAATTATCCTCTGAATATTCTCACTAGTGACTCGCGTATTCTCACCACGGGCCCGACCCTGCACGTGATCCCATCAGGGGCATGGGAAGCAATCAGCTCTCCGGGCGCATCCCTCCAGCCATCACCCGTCTCAGCAAACTAGCCCTCCTGTACGCTGCTCTTCCAACCGCGTTGCTCCTCCACCCTCACTGCTCCTCCACCCTCACTGCTCCTCCACCCCCACTGCTCCTCCACCCTCGCTGCTCTTCCACCCTCACTGCTCTTCCACCCTCACTGCTCTTCCACCCTCACTGCTCTTCCACCTTTGTTGCTCCTCCACCCTCACTGCTCTTCCACCTTTGTTGCTCCTCCACCCTCACTGTTCTTCCACCTGTCACGAGCATGTGAGAAGCCAGTCCCAACCTTTGTGCCTTTCCTTGACATTGTTCAACATTCACCTCTGCATAATGTTCATCTCGTTTCATGCTCTTGACAATGACCTGTCACACAACAGCCTCATGGGCCCTATGTTTGAGTCCACCCAAAAGTCACCTCGTTAAGATGGCACACGACACAAATTCTCCTTCTTGGTCATCTCGTTTCATGCTCTTTCCAGTGACCTGTCATACAACAGCCTCATGGGTCTGCTGAAGTTACCATGAGGCCTCACTCGTCTATATCTCGTCTCGTGCTCTTACCAGTGATCTGTCATACAACAGCCTGGGGGGTCCCATTCCTGACTCCATAGGCGCTCTCTCCTTGCTCACAAGCCTGTGAGTCACATGTAGTAGCATGTGAGTGGTGGGACGATTTTTGAGTCGACTCAAAAATTGCCTCATGGGTCCCATTCCCGATTCCATAGGCGCTCTCTCCTCCCTCACCAGCCTGTGAGTCACTTGTAGTAGCATTTCAGTGACCACTGGTTAGCAACTTTGCATATGGTTGCCACTGTGTAACCATGAACCATGATCACCAGCTGACTTTTGAGTCGACTCCCTCACTGTGTAACCATGAACCATGATCACCAGCTGACTTTTGAGTCGACTCCCTCACTGTGTAACCATGAACCATGATCACCAGCTGACTTTTGAGTCGACTCCCTCACTGTGTAACCATGAACCATGATCACCAGCTGACTTTTGAGTCGACTCCCTCACTGTGTAACCATGAACCATGATCACCAGCTGACTTTTGAGTCGACTCCCTCACTGTGTAACCATGAACCATGATCACCAGCTGACTTTTGAGTCGACTCCCTCACTGTGTAACCATGAACCATGATCACCAGCTGACTTTTGAGTCGACTCAAAAGTCACCTCACTGTGTAACCATGAACCATGATCACCAGCTTACCATGTAGTGTAGCCTCGATTGCATACATCCTCACATCCTTGATACTAGCATGTGATAGGAGCTAAACAGTTGTGAGAATGAGAAATGCTGGTTGGTGTGAGAAATGCTTGTTGTTGGTGAGAGCAGGAACCTAAGGCACAACAACCTCACCGGGTCCATTCCCAGCTGATTGTTAGACATTTCTAAGCAGCAAAGGTTTCTGTCCATTTCCAAAAAATTGTTAAACCGCGTGTGAGCAGGAATCTAAGGCACAACAACCTCACCGGGTCCATTCCCAGCTCCCTCGGCACCCTCGCCAAAGCCGTACTCATGTATGCCATGCCATGTCTCATGCCATGTCTCATGCCATCTCTCATGCCATCTCTCATGCCATGTCATGCCCCATGACCTGACATGTCCCATGTCATGACATGCCATGTCACGGTGTCGTAACTTTGTATGGCATGCCTTGACTTAATCATTCCATTCATTTAGACCTCCATGGCCTCACCAGTGCTGTCCCTTTGGGGTTGCAATGCAAGTTGGCATACGACATGTGACATGCGACATGTGGCATGTGGCATCGTGCGGTGTCGTTTGAAGCTGCCCAATTGTGCACAGCACGGCATTCTAAGCTACACCGCATTACTCCGCTTAATTTATGTGCGTCTGTTTGTCCCTGTATCTGTGTATCCCTGCGTGGGCAGAGACGTGGGTGCCAACCAGCTCACAGGCTCCATTCCTGACTCCATCACCACGCTCCTCAGCCTTGTGTACATGTCAGTGCCACGTGTCACCACTGCCACGTGTCACCACTGCCACGTGTCACGATGCCACGTGTCATTTCTGCTTCATATACGCACTGCTTCCCCTGCCGCGCTCTGCCATGACATGATCCAGCTGGCTTCAATGTTCCCCCACCTCTTCTTCTCTCTTGCTGTCCCCATGTCACCCTCCCTGGGACCCATGTCCTGAATCACACGTTTCTTTCTCCCTGGCCGTTCACCCCTCGCTCCCCGTTCACCCCTCACTCCCTGCCCATCCCTCTTTCCCTCTTTCCCCTCCCCGCCCACCCTTCACTCCTCACCCTCCCCTCATTCCCCGCGCACCCCTCCCTCCCGGCCCACCCCTCTCTCCCCGCGCACCCTGCTCTGCCCACCCTCTCCACTCGCCGCACCCAGCGCCATGGATCACAGCAACGTCACGGGCTGTGTGCTTGCTGCGTTTGAGAGCCTCTCCTCTCTGCTTTATTGCTGCACACCTGGTTTTTGAGAATTCTCAAACACCCGCCCCAATAACTTTTCCCCACCCCCCCGTGTAATGAGGGTGTTTTTGAGACGTCTCAAAAACACCCTCATTACACGTGCCCAGCGCCATGGATAACAACCACCTCACGGGGTCTCTGCCAGCTTTGAGACGTCTCAACACTCCTCCCCCATTCTGCGCTCGCTGCCTACTCCCCACTCTCCCCGCCCAGCGCCATGGATAACAACAACCTCACGGGATCTCTGCCAGCTGGCATGGGTCACCTCTCCGCCCTCAGCCAGCTGTCAGTGCCGCCCCTCTCATGCTCGCCCTCCCTCTCTCTCCTCGTGCCGTGTGCCCCACTCTGCACCTTTGCTTCAATGCCTTGGTTTCCTTTATCACGTTTTGCTGCTGCATCCATGCTTGCTGTAAGCAGCATTTCTGTCTTCCTTCCTTTCCAGTCCTACAAATACTGCAGGGACCTGATATGCACCAGACTGCAGAGCTAGAGTTGACTTTTGAGTTGACTAAGTCAACATCTGTCGTCTGTCCTTCCATTCCTCTGCCTGCTGCACGACTTGATATGCACCAGCCTGAAGGTCTTCCTTTATCACGCTCTGCTGCATCCATGCTTGATATAATCAGCATTTCTCTTCTTTCTTTCTATCCTTCTGTCCTTCTGTCTGCTGCAGGGACTTGAGGTACACCAGCCTGCAGGGCTCGAGTTGACTTGAGTTGACTCAGAAGTCAACATCTGTCTTCTGTCCTTCCATTCCTCTACTGTCTGCTGCAGGGACTTGAGGTATACCAGCCTGCAGGGCTCGCTCCCTGCATCCCTCGGCAACCTTACTCAGCTCACAGGCCTGTAAGTGAAACGTCTCACACTAGTCGCTGGTGTTGACGCGTCTCACACTTGATCCGCCGGTTTTCTAGCGTCTCACACTTAATCCGCCGGCGTTTAGGTGTCTCACACTTGATTCGCCATTTCACCCTGTCATTGCTGCTTTTTTTTCCTCCATCATGCATTTCCCCTCGTGCATCTCGCACTCCTCCCTGGCCAGCTAAGTGGACAGCACAGGCCTGCAGTGCGCCACAGGGGGGTGGTGCGAGCTGAACCAGCAGACCATATCACCCACCACTGCTTATTCACTGTCCTCCTGCATCTCTCACTCCTCCTTTATTCACTTCCCTCGTGCATCTCTCACTCCTCCCTTGCCAGCTACGTGGACAGCACAGGCCTGCAGTGCGCCACAGGGGGGTGGTGCGAGCTGACTTAGCAGACCATATCACTCATCTGCAATCACTTCTTATTCACTTCCCTCCTGGATCTCCCACTCCCCCCTTACCAGCTACGTGGACAGCACAGGCCTGCAGTGCGCCACAGGGGGGTGGTGCGAGCTGAATCAGCAGTCAACGTCAGCATTCTGCCAGCACTGCTCCTTCTTCTGCTCCAACTGCTCCGTGCAGCCAGGTGGGTGTGTGGGAGGGTGTGAGTGCTACCAGGTGAGTGCTACCAGATGAGTGCTACCAGGTGAGTGCTACCAGATGAGTGCTACCAGGTGACTTTTGAGTCAATTCAAGAGCTGAATCAGGAGACAGCGTCAGCATTCTGCCAGCACTGCTCCTTCTGCTCCTCCAACTGCTCCGTGCAGCCAGGTGAGGGTGTGGGCAGGTGAGTGTGCGATCAGGTGGGTGTGCGATCAGGCGAGTGTGCGATCAGGTGGGTGTGCGATCAGGTGGGTGTGCGATCAGGTGGGTGTGCGATCAGGTGGGTGTGCAAGCAGGTGAGTGAGAGAGATGAAATGGAACAGCTCAAATCAGGTGGCCATGCCCCGTGACTGAGCGACCAAGTACCTCTCGTGTCTTCCCTTCCTCCCTTCCCTTTCCTTCTGCCTGTCTAGATTCCCCACCTTTCGCATCCCTCCACCTTTCCACCCCTCCTGCCCTCCATCCACCCCTTTCCATTTGCTGCAACCCACACACCAGCTGACATGTGTGCATCATTTCAGATTAACCAGTGTGGGCACCTCAACGGTGGCTATGTTTTCCTCCCCAACGCCACCTCAAATCTTTCACTTTATCCATCCCTCTGGCCCTCCATCCACCCCTTTTCGTTTGCCCCCACTGCAGCTGACGTGTGCGCCTCGTTTCAGTTCAACCCATGCGGAGGGGGTGCCTGTGTGTCCCTCCCCAATGGCACCTACACCTGCCAATGCCCTCTCGGCAGCACCATCGGGAACAACGGCACCATCGCTCCCACTTGTGTCCCTTGTCCCACATGCCTCAACTGTAAATCAATCCATCGTCCATGCATGCAGCATCTCCATCGACCATGCATGCAAAATCGCTTTTTCCTTCATTTGTTTGCCTCTTGCTATTCCAATGCAGTGCCTCTTGCTATTCCAGTGCAGTGCCTCTTGCTATTCCAGTGCAGTGCCTCTTGCTATTCCAGTGCAGTGCCTCTTGCTATTCCAGTGCAGTGCCTCTTGCTATTCCAGTGCAGTGCCTCTTGCTATTCCAGTGCAGTGCCTCTTGCTATTCCAGTGCAGTGCCTCTTGCTATTCCAGTGCAGTGCCTCTTGCTATTCCAGTGCAGTGCCTCTTGCTATTCCAGTGCAGTGCCTCTTGCTATTCCAGTGCAGTGCCTCTTGCTATTCCAGTGCAGTGCCTCTTGCTATTCCAGTGCAGTGCCTCTTGCTATTCCAGTGCAGTGCCTCTTGCTATTCCAGTGCAGTGCCTCTTGCTATTCCAGTGCAGTGCCTCTTGCTATTCCAGTGCAGTGCCTCTTGCTATTCCAGTGCAGTGCCTCTTGCTATTCCAGTGCAGTGCCTCTTGCTATTCCAGTGCAGTGCCTCTTGCTATTCCAGTGCAGTGCCTCTTGCTATTCCAGTGCAGTGCCTCTTGCTATTCCAGTGCAGTGCCTCTTGCTATTCCAGTGCAGTGCCTCTTGCTATTCCGCCGCAGTGCCTCTTGCTATTCCAGTGCAGTGCCTCTTGCTATTCCAGTGCAGTGCCTCTTGCTATTCCGGGCGTTGGCGTTGCTGAGCCGCCGCGGATCCGGGAATCGTGCTCGCGGCACCATCCCCTCGTCGCACATCCGCGGGCGACGCGGCCGAGTCGTCGCACAGCGGTCGCTCGGCGACGTCGGCAGTCGCCGGCGAATCTGGCGGCGAATCGCCACGCGTCGCGTGCGGGGATTGGCTGAAGCATGTGAGGAAGGTTCCGTGGGAGGTCATGGGACCGACGGAACCGCAACGGTGCCACTGTTGATTCCCTGGTGGGAATAAGCTAGGTGGAATCGACGATGCGGTTTTCAAAAGTATTCACCGTCGCTACTAGAGCGCCTCAGTAAGCAAACGTGCCAATAGGACCTAACGAAGAATAAGTATAAAGTAAGAATAGTGGCCCTATTCCAGTGCAGTGCCTCTTGCTATTCCAGTGCAGTGCCTCTTGCTATTCCAGTGCAGTGCCTCTTGCTATTCCAGTGCAGTGCCTCTTGCTATTCCAGTGCAGTGCCTCTTGCTATTCCAGTGCAGTGCCTCTTGCTATTCCAGTGCAGTGCCTCTTGCTATTCCAGTGCAGTGCCTCTTGCTATTCCAGTGCAGTGCCTCTTGCTATTCCAGTGCAGTGCCTCTTGCTATTCCAGTGCAGTGCCTCTTGCTATTCCAGTGCAGTGCCTCTTGCTATTCCAGTGCAGTGCCTCTTGCTATTCCAGTGCAGTGCCTCTTGCTATTCCAGTGCAGTGCCTCTTGCTATTCCAGTGCAGTGCCTCTTGCTATTCCAGTGCAGTGCCTCTTGCTATTCCAGTGCAGTGCCTCTTGCTATTCCAGTGCAGTGCCTCTTGCTATTCCAGTGCAGTGCCTCTTGCTATTCCAGTGCAGTGCCTCTTGCTATTCCAGTGCAGTGCCTCTTGCTATTCCAGTGCAGTGCCTCTTGCTATTCCAGTGCAGTGCCTCTTGCTATTCCAGTGCAGTGCCTCTTGCTATTCCAGTGCAGTGCCTCTTGCTATTCCAGTGCAGTGCCTCTTGCTATTCCAGTGCAGTGCCTCTTGCTATTCCAGTGCAGTGCCTCTTGCTATTCCAGTGCAGTGCCTCTTGCTATTCCAGTGCAGTGCCTCTTGCTATTCCAGTGCAGTGCCTCTTGCTATTCCAGTGCAGTGCCTCTTGCTATTCCAGTGCAGTGCCTCTTGCTATTCCAGTGCAGTGCCTCTTGCTATTCCAGTGCAGTGCCTCTTGCTATTCCAGTGCAGTGCCTCTTGCTATTCCAGTGCAGTGCCTCTTATGATTCCAGTACGGCACTTCCAATCCATTCTAGTCATGATCTCACCATTCTCTTCTCATCCTGGTTTGGCTGTCTCAGTGTTGCCACTTTCTGAGGATACTTGCAATCTCTCTTGCATGCCCCAGCATCGCCCAGATACATGGCCTATGAGCAATGTACAACTCCATATGCATGTTCCATGTGCCACATGCATGTGTGTTTCATGTGCCACATGCATGCGTGTTCCATGTGCCACATGCATGTGTGTTCCATGTGCCACATGCATGTGTGTTCCATGTGCCACATGCATGTGTGTTCCATGTGCCACATGCATGTGTGTTCCATGTGCCACATGCATCTCTGCATGCACACCTTGTGAGCCACATGCACATGACTTCATATGTTCTCTTCTTTATGCACTCGCATGTGCCAAGGTGCTCTCTTCTGTCTCTTCCTTCTCAATCTGTGGTATTGCATGAAGCTCCAAGCCCTCCATCTACCAGTCCGCCGCCCACAGGCCTGCCGCCCACCAATCCGCCATCCACCTCCCCAGCGCCTGCCAGTGCCCCATCACCTCCCAGTGCGTCACCTGGCTCTCCCCCTGGAGCGGGGGCAGGTGGCACCACAGCAGTCACTCAGGCACCACAGGCTCCCAGTCAAACTCGCAGCGGAACAGGAATGAAAGCTGAGGGCCTTGTCATCAGTTCATGTGTTCTACTACTGCTGCCGCAAATCCTCGTGCTTTTGTTTGCATGGGGGAGCTAGGGTCCGTGAATACCGAAAGGACTTAGTCTGACTGATTGTCAGGAAAATTATGCCTTTTTTTATGCTAATAGAAAGTTCCATAGCAGCTGTATATTTTGCTGGAATCACAATCCATAGCATTCGCCTGTTATAGGTTTAGCAATCATGTGGATAACAGATAAATTAACATGTACTCTAGACTATTCCATATAGAACCTAATTGGAGTGCTGTTGGAAGATTGCATTCCTTTTTTCTGGGGCATTTATCTCGGCGGTAACACTCATCGGGCTCGATTGCACGCGAGGTAAGCCATGTGTCTAAATCGTAACAAAAGTATCTTCTGGTTGCCTACATGGTAACCAGATGTGCAATGGTGACCAGATGTGCAATGTTGATTACCATGTAGGCAACCAGAAGATACTTTTGTTACGATTTAGACACGTGGCTTACTTCGCGTGCAATCGAGCCCGATGAGTGTTACCGCCGAGATAAATGCCCTTTTTTCTGGCTGTCAGGGACGAAACCCCCAGCGCCTACGATGACTGCTGTGGGCCCGGGGCCTGCCAAAGATGGATGGAATGCAATGCATGTGACCGGGATGATGGGATTTGAGGATGATGTGACCGAGGTGACGTGGAAGTGCGCAGAGGGCCGCTCGCCGCGCGACACGACAAGCGTGGTCAGTTGCAAGGATGTGGTGGTGGTTGCAGGGGCGGTTTGTTTGTATCGCTCTTGGTTGTCAGTTTCATAATTTGCAAGGATGCACACGGCGAAAATGTTGCATGAGCAGCAACCTCTACAGTTGTCGTTGACGCCGTTGTCCCATCCGTTGGATTCGATCCGGAGGAGTCCAGATTGTTGCCGTGCCGTGCTGAGTTGAGTTGAGGTGTTGCACTGCAGAGGCCTGTGATGTGCTCCTCCGGACTGTAGCTTTGGGGGGCACCCAAGGCCTCGGAATTGGAAGGCATCTGCTCCGTCCACTCCCTCTCAATTTCAGATTTTCTTTTCTTTCGGCTTTGGAACTGCTGACGCGGACTCGCTTGACCGTGCTCGATGATGATGCAAGGACGGTCGGTGTGTTGTTGATGGTGGCTTCTTTCTTGGCTTTCAGCCTTACCTACTGTACAGTACCACCAAGAAAGTGTATCACTCACCTCGTGGAGTTGTGAGAAACACTACACCGACGAGTCGCGCTGGGTGAGAAGGTTGAGAAAGATGTTATGATTAGAGTTGTAAGCTAAGCTCCTTGCATTCGTGCTTCAAAACCCCAAATTGCCTAAAGCCAAAGCTAGGTACAGTAGGTCGGAATGGATACAGTACACAGGATGCCCAACCAGTGCACGCGCATTTGGTCTTGCCGCGCTCGAAAGCCTGCCCAATTGCAAGTAGCACCAGCCAGTTGCACGCTCGATACAAGCCCCTATTTTGATCGCAGCCGTTAAACAAACAGCTTATCACGCTGACATCCGTCCGTTCGTAAGATATTTTGAAGAAGCTGGTTATATTTCTTCACCTGCCCACTACAGTCCCGATTTTGCCCGTGGCGAACGTTGGCGAGCTGGCGAATTAGGGGTGCGCACTAGACACCCAAATGACCAAAAAATTCGTGCAAGTCAAGCGAGCATCGTGTGTATTGGGAACGTTGGAAACATACTACAGTGGCAAAGCGCGTGTTTCCTAAAATTGCTGCCGCGCTTCGAAGGAGCAAAACGTGGGAAGGAGTGAAGTTGTTGGCTCAAATCTGCACAAGGCGAGGCATCATTGCCATTGAATCCAAGGACTGGGATGGATCTTGGAACCCCCAAAGAAGCGCCACAGGCGAGAAGATGTTTTGAGAGATGAAGCAAGGAAGGACGAACCTCGATCAGTAACGAGCAGGGCGGGACAAATAGGTTACAAACCCTGTAGCGTAACGAGATGGCGGCGTGGCCTGGCGTGACAACGAAGTTGCGCTGTGTCACCGTGAAAAGGGCAGGGCAGGGCAGGGCAGCGCAGGGCAGGGCAAAGCAGGGCCCACTTTCGTTATGTCGCTGATTGCGAGGCATCATCCGCCTCCATCTGCCATACAGGATCTTGCTGCTCGATTGCTCGCCTCGCCGACTGTCAGTGAGTCAGGTCCCTCATCTCTTCCAGTGGCGCTCCTCCTTGAGGTGTGTGTGCGTGTGACCCTTTTCGCCATCGCCCTGCTGGCCTACCTGGCCTTATTTGGATCCCAAAAGCCAGTTTCTAGTGGGTCGCTCAACCCCATTCCAATCACAGCATTCTCACGGGCGGCTGGCCTGGCTTGAGGCGCTTCACGACAACGGATGACATGGTCCCACACACCCATGGCGGTTATTATAGTCCCATACGACCATTTTTGTATAGTATACAGGAGAAGTTGCTGCTAGGAACGTGAGATCGAGGACAATGACCTCCCGTGTGGTACTAGGACTCGTTATCGGACCAGTTTTCCGCCGCATGATTATAGTCCTACGACTCGGTTGTACGGAACATCCTCTAGGACTAGACAGTGCTAGTACTAAGCACGTTTCAGATTGCCATCCAAATATCTATCATATCATCCTCGCCGGGTCAGATTTGGCTTGCGGCATCCATCCATCAAGTTTACGCCCCTCACAGTCAGAATGAGCGACCGCTAGTCATTTTCCAACGAAGCAACTCTTACTACTACTACTAACGCAGAGAACATGCGAGAACACAGTTTTCCTCCGGACATAGCGTCGGCGATGGAGGTGGAGGAGCATCCTGAGCGCGACGCGGACGACGAGCTTCTACTAGACCCTGAAGACGCGCCGCTACTGCCAGAAGAGCTCGGAACCGTCGGTCGCGACGTTGACGCCGGAGATCTTTCCGAGTCGCCTTCGAGGCGGCGAAACTCACGAGAATGTTTAAGCGGAAGTCCAAGCCCTCTCGAGGGCCCTGCTGCTGACTCAGCAGTAAAGGCAAGGCCAGACTCGAGCCAGCGGTTAATTCCGGCTGAAGAGTCCTGTCGTCAAGCTGTGGAGCAGCCTGACAGGTTCAGTGAGCGTCGTCAGAGCGGCGTGTCCGCGGGAGACCCTCCGCCAGGAACGGCGGGAGTGGCGGAGATTGGTACTACGGAAGCGCCGGCGACAACGGGACAACCACCCATGTCCCAGTATGTCGCTCGTTCTTGCACATCTCCATTTCTGTGCTCCGTTCGCGGATTCTCGCTGCGCAAAACGGTACTGGTAATGCTGCGCGACGCAAACCCTACTACCAGAAGTTTGAACAACCCTAACTCCGCGTTTACTTCTACCTCCAATATTTTACAGACGCCGCGCGGCGAGGCAACGGCTGGCTCTGCTGAAGCGGCGGATACCGCGCGACGGGTACATGTGGCTCAAGTACGGGCAGAAGCAGCTCACGGGCGGAACTCACGGCAGGTGAGCAGCTTGTAACTCAAATAATGGTGGGTGTGAAGGGCGTTGTTCCAGGTTTCAACGCTGCTGAGACGAGGGCCTGTTTGAGTTACAGCTTTCCAGCTCGAATGACGACTTGCCATGGGTTGGAGTGAGGGGCGTGTCTTCAACACCAAGGGACTAGTTTCCGGTTTCGCAAAAGTTCCGGAATTCCCGTTTGCGACATGTTCATTCAATTTCGGTGGGAACATGAACCAATGTACACCCCGTCGGTGCAAACGATGAGAAGCCCTAGTTTTGTGAACTGGGCTATCCCGGTTTTTTCAGAATCGAGTTTCGTCGAGTGGCTCATCTTGCCTTACGGCCCTTTTTCCCATCGTTCTCCGCCTTACGTTCTATCAGGCACTACTACCGCTGTAGTCACTTTCGCCAACCAACCGAGTGTCGCGCGCGTCGCGTGGTCGATTTCCACAAGCACGACTCCAAGATCCCGCTCCGAATCTCCTTCTTCGGCGAACACAACCATCCGCCGCCGCTTCACCGCCCGCCGCAACCATTCGCAGCACCGCCTCAGAACCCTTCTTCCGCCACTGCGCAGCCGGCTTCCGCAGGCGCGACCGTCGCGCAGGCGTCTTCCGCCGCCGCAACCGGCCCCAGAAACAGCCGCCACCCCGCGGATCGCCTCAGACTCAGCCTGCCCGATGACGTCATCGGATCCGCGCTGGCAGGCGGAGCTTCCGCCGCATCTGCTGGCGGAGGCGGAAGCGGAACGCAAGCTGCTGCTGCTGGGTTCCAACCTGGAGGCGGAAGCGGCGGGGGAGAGGGGGGGAATCAGGCGGAAATTCCTGCAGGCGTCGTTGGAAGGCTGCCTTACAGCCTAGCGGAACTCGAGGTCCTCGCGGCCGTTCTCCGCGAAGCCGCCGCCGCGTCTGCCGCTGTGGGCGACGCACACGCGCCAGTGGAGGGCTCGAGCGGCAGAGCTAACGCCGCCGCCGCCAGCAACGGTGCCACCAGCGCCGCGGCTGCCGCCACGTATCAAAGGGTGCTCGTTAACGAGCGCGGCGCTTGTGCGTCGAGCCTTGGCGGTGGCAGCGGTGGCGGCAGCATCGGCGGTAGCAGCAGGGCGGTCGCAGCAGAGAGGGAGCATCAGCTTCTGGAAACCCTAGTCAACCTGCTGACGTCACCTGTGGCGTCACCCGGTGGTTCCGGATCCGCCTCCCTCACCCCCCGCCCCTCGTCTGCTCCCTCCCCTCGGGATCTCCACTCTCCCATGCAGACCGGCGCTCTTCTCTCCCCCACATCAGCCATTGCTGCCGCGTACCCTCACTGCGCCTCCTACCCGTCCTACCGCTCGTCTGCTGCCACGTCACCCTCCAGCATGACGTCAGCCTCTGGGTCAACGCAGTTCTCTCCACATGCTACAGGTCCCACAGGACTCACCGGTCACACAGGTCCCACTGGGCACTCAGGAAGCCGGTTTGGCGTGCCATCCGCGCTGGCCTCCCCTGGCGCAGGTGCGCCTTCCGCCATTGCAGGGCCCTCCGCCAGTGCGGGGCCGTCCGCGCAGAGCCGGCAGCAGCTGGCAGCAGCAGCCATTCTCGCGCACCTGCTGGCTGCGCAGGCGCGCCAGGGCGCCTCCCCGAGAACCCCCAACCCCGTGCATGAAACACACGTGGCAGCAGCAGCAGGATCGCAGCCCATGCGTGAAACACAAGGCGGGGCATTAGCTCCACATGGCTCTGTGCGTGAGGTGCTAGGGGGAGTGCACGGCCCTCTGTCGGAGTCTCCTGGGGGGCTGCAAAGGCCGCATGGGGTTCCGCACCAGCAGCGACAGCTTTTGAATGCGGTTCAGGGCGGTTTGGTCTCCACTCCCCGCCCTGCCCTTTCCTGCCCGCCTGAGGGCCGACACCCTGCTCCTCCGCCGCTGTTCATTCCCCGCCCTGCCTCCTCCCCAGCTGAGTATTTCACCGCCTCTGCTGCCATCTCCTCGCCACGTGGCACGAGCGTTAACTGCCAAGTCAACACGTGGCCGCCTGGTCAGGAGCAGCAGGGCTCCCAGCCGTGGGCAGCGGGTCAGGGCCTTGGGGGTTGCGGGACAGGGTTTGATGGTGGGATGGGGGATGCGGAGCTGTGGCAGGGGGAAGGGGAGAGGATGGGGGCGGAAGGGGGAGCGGTGGGGTGGGGTATGATGGAGCAGGAGTGTGATGATGCTGGGGAGCTGCAGTTGCTGCAGCTGCAGGAGCTGCATCAGCTGCTAAAGAGGCAGGCAGAGCAGAGACAGAAGCAGAAACAGGAGCAGGAACGGCTACAGCAGAATCATCACCACCAGTCTCAGCAGCAGCTGCAACAGCAGCAGCAGTGGAGGCGGCAGCAGTTGCTGCTCCAACACCTGGAAACGCAGCTGGATCAGTTCCGCCAGCAGCAGGGGCAAGGGCAGGGGCAGGGGCAGGCAGAAGCACCCATAACACCATGCACTAATGACCCCGGAGCAGCCCTCACCCCCTCCTCCTTCACTGCTTCCGCATCCTCCCCTGCCATCTCCCCTGCCGGCTTAACCCCTGGATCATCATCTTCTCCTGCTTTGACCCCTTCCTCCCTCACTCCCTCTTCCCGGAACCCGTCCGCGCTCACCCCCGCCACACTGTCCACGTCGTCGCAGCACTACCGCGAGCCGTCGTTCTCGGAGTTCCTGCGCCTGCCTGACATGAGCACTATACAGGCCAGCCGCGCTGCCCGCCTCTCCGGCCATGCTCGCAGCAACAGTGGCAGCTTTGGCGGCCAGCAGCAGCAGCAGCCGCAGCAGCACCAGCAGCAGCAGCAGCAACAGCAGCAGAACCAGAACCAGCAGCAGCAGCAGCAGCAGCAGCAGCCAGCCAGTGTCTCACGGCGTTCCCACGCGCGTACATTGAGTGCACCACACCCACAGGCGTTGCTGCCCGGTGAAACAGCCATCAGACCCAGCAGCGGCTCCACAGCCTCCCGTCCGCTTTCGCCTCTTGCCCCCACCTCTTCCTCCAGGCCCCTATCGCCGCTGTCTCAGCTCAGCACTTTCCGCCTGCCGTCCGCGCACCAGAAGCCTCCAGTGGCACGGAATAAGAGGTCGGGAGACGCCGCGTCGCAGCAGCAGCTGCTGCCCCCGCCCCGGCGAATGTCACGGTCGGCAACAGCACCCGCTGCACCCGCTGTGTCTTCTGCGGCTGCTGCAGCAGCAGCAGTAGTAGAAGCAGCAGCAGCAGCAGCAGCCACTGCTGCTTCAGCACCACCACCACTGGCATCGCCGTCAGACATGCATCCTCTACAAGCTCAGGGCATACAACCAAGGCTTCGGATTTCCGAGGACAACTCAGGCGCTCTGCGGGTGACGCCCCAGTCGCTATCAGCCGCCCCTATGGCCGATGGCACCTATGCCAGCGGGTTTGGATTCGGAAGTGGCACTTTCCAGCTTCCCGATTCCAGTTTCACTGGCAGTGCCAATCTGACCGGCAGTGCCAGTTTGAACGCAGAAGCAGCGTTTTCACAGCTCCAGAGGCAGCTGCAGGAGCAGGCCAAAACTGGCAATCTGTTTGCATTCGGTAATGCCTCAACTTCCGCAGCAGTGGGTGGGGTGAGCAGGCATCAGCGCGCTGCCACAAATGTGAGCCCCCTTCAGGTGCCTGAGGAGGATTCAGGGAAAGGGAGGGAAGCTGCTGGGGCTGGGGAGGGTGGTGTGTTCGTGTCGCAGCCAGGAGAGCCGCTTGCGGTCCAAGAAACAGGAGGAGCAGTAGCAGCAGCAGAAGCAGCAGCTCTGTCCAGCTTGCTGCAGCAGGGGGATTTGACGAAGCTCATTGAGGCACTGTCACATGTGAGGGCGAGTGATGAGCAGGGCGGCGGGCAACCATGGGTGACCTCTGCAAGAAATCAGTCCCAGTCAGTGGATGCTGCCTCAGGACCTGCTTTTCCTCCAATGGATACAGGCAGGGCGAATGGGGCAGGATCTAGCTGCTTGTTTAATAATCAGATTGGCTCTTACACTGCAGATGCTGCAGCAGGTGGCGAGGGGAACTTTCGGTTCGCATCTTCAGACCTGCCGAGTGTCTTTCAACACAGCCCTGATTCGCTGCAGAAACAGATACAGGATGCAATGGATCAGCAGGATTTGGATGCGGCCGTGCTTGCTGCTGTCACTGCGGGAACCGCAGGAGCATCTGCAGGTGCAGGTTCTGCCGGGGAGGTTGCTATGGGCGAGAATGGGTGTGGTTTTTACGGCAGGGGCCAAGCAGCTTCGCTTTTACAATCAGGTGGATTTGGATGCGATGTTGGCAGCGGACAGCAGCAGCAGCATTTGCTCCGTGATGAGCAGAATGGAGGCGGTGAGAATACACTGGCGATGATGGCGTTGCTGAGAACCTTGACCGACCCAGATGACCAGATGACACTAGATGGTTGATGATAGCTGCCCGACACTGGACAGTTGATCTTGTACCCTGCCCGGCGCTACTGACAATTTAAAATGGTTGATTACTGCCCTGGATCAGTTATCTCTTGGCGGTGGGTGGATGCTTTCAGCACTTGTATAGCATTAACTGCTAATCGCGGTATTTGTACGGTATTGTTTTATTTATGACCTGCAAAAGCCAGTGTGTCACAAACACCTTTAGCTGCAAAGAAAAAGGGGCATTGATACCGAAAAATCCTTATTACCGTACAATGCTAGAAGATTGCTGTCCACTGCATTGGGAAGTTTGATTATTTGGTCAAAATGTTGCTGCCTGGTGTCGAGGCCACATGGGGATTCTAATTCTTGTTCTTTTACCTGCACAATGTGCACATTCAATGCCAGATTCGTACAAACCAACCAGCAGAGGAATGCAATGCATTGTCTTACAGGACTGAATCTGAGACATCTGACTGGATGGATGAGAAGGTGCAATTGGAAAACGTGTTGAGGGAAGGCCCGCATAGTGAAGTGAAGAGTGTCTTATAATGCTCTCAAGCGGATGTATCCAAGCTCCTTTTCAGCCAGGCAAACATGGTAATCTGTAGACAAGCTTTTATGAGAAACAACGAATCAGGAAACTAAGGAGCAACTGGCAAGCCAGCGGCCAGCAGTTGCTTTAGAACCGGGCATTTGCCTATAGGATACTCCCTCTCGTTTGGCAACACACGGGCTAGCGCTTCACATACCACGAGCCTCCACGCATCTGCAGGGAACACATGACCGTTGCGTTACCGCTTGCTCTTGTCCCGTCTCCGCCGCTTCTTCTGCTTGTGCTTGTTCATCTTCTTCCGCCGTTTCCGCTTCACGCTGCTGGCCAGTAGCGGCACCGCGCTCCCATATCCCGGACCCTCGCGCTGACCGTCTCTCACGCGAGCAGCGGAAGGAACGGAAAGAGCCGGAATGCTAAACGAAGCGGCTGTGGAATCTGGAACTGGAAAACCTAACGGAATGGGTACAGCAGCAGAACCAGATAAAGAATCCATCCACCAGTTCGGTGAGTTTCGAACAGGCTGATATGAGACAGACGCACTGCCTGGTTCGAACTTGAGGCCTCCTTGTAACAAATCGCTCCTAATGGTCCGTTCATGCCAGAGATCACGCAATCGGACGGCGGAGAACCCGCTGCGATGAAGATCGGGTGGATAAGACCTCGATCGTTCTAAATCAGACGCACAGGCTGAAAAGGCCCGCTGATTACATCCAGCTGTTTCGCCCACGGTTTGAACGCGTCGACACGACGAAGACCATCGTAATAGCAGCTGGCCTAAGGCAATGGCGGGTCTTCGTCCGCGCTCCATGACGACGAGGGCTAGTAAGTCAGGGGAACTACATAGTAGGCTGAAACAGAAAATGGCACGAGCGTGAAATGGCCTCGCGGGTGGTGCGCGGGTGATGCTGGTGCCAGGAGGAAATCGGTGGACAACTATATTGGGTGGAGAAACGCAATAAAGTACGAACACGTATTTTTCGATAAGTTGCCTGCTTATGATAGTATACGATCTTGAAAACATGACATCTGTGCATACCAAAGCATTTTTGCCCTTATTCACTTCGAATACAAATGAGATACGCCCTTTTACCATTTGATGCAACTTTATAGATACGGTGGCACATATCAATCGATACAAAAATACCTAAATTTACATATTACACGCACATGCCAATGAGCAAATACCATACGTTTACCTTTTGATAGATACACTGCAAGACTGTATGAGGCTATTGATTCATATTCCCTCTTTGGAATATTATACATGAATGTTTAAGGCTGTTGACTATATAAAAAAATGGAGATGCAACTCACAGCCAAGCTCCATATCCTACCAGAGCAAAGTATATTCTGACAATTTTGATAGCCCTAGTCCAAACGGGGATAAACTTGTCAGGACCCTACTTCTGACCAGTAAACTAGCAGCATCCTGCTTCATTCAGTCGAACACTAGCGTCTAAATCGACGGCCTCAGTCATTCAGCAATCATGAGCGGTCTAAGCGGAGCGGTAGGATCCTCCCCGACTATCCTTAGCTAGCGATGCGCAGGCATCCAGGTCACCCGCCTTATGGTCCGCGTCGCGCAGGATCCGGTGCGCCCGCCGGCGGACACGCTGGCGCGCACCCTGGCGCGCACGGCTATGGTGCCGGACAAGGCTACACTGGCGGCGGCGGAAGCAGCGGTTATGGCGGGCACGGGTATGCGGGGGGAGGTGGCGCACCTAGGGGCCCGCGCGGAGGCAGGGCGCCGTACGCGCACCATCCTTCCGCGCAAGTGCCCGCCGCGCAAGCTCCCCCAGCGGCGCAAGCAACTCCCCAGCCTCCCCCTCCGCCAGCCCCCGTGAACCCCGCCGTTGCTGAGGCTGGCGCGCGGGCTGTGCGGTGGCTAGAAGAGGTATCGGAGGGAATTTGCGCTGACGTGGCGTTGCGCGGAGCGGCCAGCGATTCTGGAGCCAGTCGTTTACCGACAGCTGGCGGCGATGGTTTGCCTCAGGAGGTGGGCTTTAAGGAGTTCGCTCAATGGCGAAGCTAAGAGTCTGGGGTATTCTGCGCCTTTATTCCGCTTCATAACCCACTTTGAACCTGCGTCGGTGCCTCATCTAGAGCATTCAGCTTTTCATAGCTATTAGCTCACTCACTTCCATTGCATCTCCGTTATTAACTGCCTCAGGTGCAGCTTATAAGCCGAGTGGCGTCGCTACTCCAGTCACCCATGGCCCCTCAGCTGCTCGCGTGGGAGCCTACCGCCGGTCGCATCTGGATGCTGCTGGAACGCCTGCTCGCTCACAGGTGTGCCACTTTCTGTTGCAGGCGGATTTATGGAAATGCTAAAGAATAATGGTGACTTTTGAGTCAGACTCAGAATGCACCTTGCTGCCTCAGCTGCTCGCGTGGGACCCCACAGCCGGTCCGGTCGCATCTGGATGCTGCTCGAGCGCCTGCTCGCTCACAGGTGTGCATCTAGCAGGGGGTGACGTCACACGGATGTGCTTCTAGCAGGGGGTGACGTCACACGGGTGCACTACAAGCACACTACATTACGTTTGATGCTTGAGAACAAACAACAGCAAACCCACTTATTCCCATTTTTACCCACGGGTCAGTTATGCTGTCATCCAATCAGCAGCCACCAAACCCTCTTCCCCGCCTCTCCCACCTCTCCCCATTTTTCACACCCCTCCCTTCTTTTCCCTCCACCCACCCCTTTCCCCCCCTTGTTCACTTCCTATCAGGGATGCTGTCATCCAATCAGCAGCCGCCTCCGCCATCGGGGTTGCAGCGGCGGTCCGTCTGCCATCCGAGTCAATCGCTCTCTCTCCAGGCGCTGCAGGACTGCCAGCTGTTGCTGCCTCATTTGCAGGTGTGCGGGAGATAAGCTTGTGAATAGGGCTGGTGAGGAGAGCTGGTAATCGGGCGGCTGGCTTTTGCGGTGGATCAGCGGTGGATTGGCGGTGGATTGGGTTGCGGATAGCGGCCTGAGTGGCTTTTGAGGCGCCTCAAAATTTGCGGATAGCGGCCTGAGTGGCCCAATGGGTTGTTCAAAGTGTGAGATTAACTCACGTTACTACTTTTCATGTCTTAAACTTTCACATCCACAGTTATGGGGACTTGCCAAGTGACACTGTATGTATATCACCAGACATTTTCAGTGAGCAGCAGCATGTGAGGATATCTCACAGACAGCTTCCATCATTGGAGAGCCGCTGCAGCTACATTGCATCCCTGCAGCAACCCTGCACTGCCACGCAGACCCGACTGCACCACTTTTAACATGCTGATTCCTGAGCATGTATGAACTACTCTGGTCCCCCCTGCTTCCACTTGTTCCTCCCACACCCGCCCGCCACCCACCTGCTCGTGACCCCTGTCCTGTTCCATCAGGAGCGGAGCGTCTCTTTGCGTGGGCCCTCCCCCAGCTCACTGATCCCAATGCTGACGTGGCAAACACGCGCCTCGCCCTGCTGGCAGCTGCCCCGTTCTGCCAGCTGGCACCCGCGCCTTTAGCACCCGAAGCTGATCCAAAGTCAGTCCCAACTGTTGCACCGGCAGGAGCAGCCACAGCAGCAGCAGCAGCAGCAGCAGCAGCAGCAGCAGCAGCAGCAGCAGCGGCGGCGGCAGCGGCGGCAGCATCAGAGCCGTACGTCTCCAGTTGTGTGCAGGCCTGTCAGGGCCTGCTAGAGGACGAAGGAACGCCGCCCACCCTCCTGCCACCCATCCTCTCCGTCCTCGTCGCCGTCGCAGAGCGCTTTCCCGGAACCTTCTTGCAGCAGTTTGAAGAAATTATCGACCTGCTGCTGGGGTGGGCCATGGAGCCGTCAGTTCTGCCGGCTAGCCGGCAGCTTATCAGCGACTGCTTCCTGCGGTTCGGCCGGCAGTGGCGGGAGAAGGGAACTTTCACTCGAAACGTGCTGCTGAAACTGGTGGGGGATATTGAGACAGAGGTGAAAACAGGTAAAGGGACGTTTGATAGTTGTTCTGCTGGTGCTGGGGGTGTGGGAGGTTCTGGGAGTACTGGTGGTGGTGGGGGAAGGAGCAGGGCTGCAGCAGCAGCAGCAGTGGCTGCGGAAGAGACAGACGCTTCGGATGCTCGCTTGGCTGCGCTGACTTTGTCTTTTAGCGCGGTTCTGGGCGGCGTGACAGGCTGGCGAGGCATCCCTAGCCCCAGCAGAGATGTCACCCCGACAGGTGCGGTCAGGGGTGTGAGTGGCGGGGTTATAGGGAATGCAGCAGTTAAGCAAGGGAGTGCTTCCAAGGGGCAGGATGATGGGTCGTGGCATCAGGTGGTTTCTTTGGAGAGCCTGTTCCGGCGCTGGCTGGCGCTGCTGAGAGATCTCCTGCAGGTGGACATTCAGGTGGATTCTCAGGTGGATTCTCAGGTGGAGGGAGGAGACGGCGGGAAAGCAGTGCCAGTGGCAGCAGGTGATGCTGGTGTGGGAGGACGGGGAGCGGGGACAGCAGGTGGAGGGGAATCAGTAGGAGGGGGAGGGCAGGTGAGGAGGGTGCCGGTGGGGAGGGCAGGTGTGGCACGGGTGGCATGGGTGGCGGAGTGGTGGGCGGTGTTGCCTGTCTTCATCTGGGCGCTCTGTGCGCATGGTGGTAACCCGCAGCAGCACTCGTGGAAAGGCACTTGGAAAGGGAGACAACAGCAGCAACAGCGCGAAGATCCGCCGCCTCGTTACTCTCCGGTTCAGCAGTTTCTGAGAAGCTTCTACGTGCCAGCTGTCGCGCCTCTCCTGAACGCCGTCGCCAGCACGCGCCTCTTCCCGCCACCCGCCCTCGCCGCCGTGCTGCGCTGCCACCTGGCAGCGCTTGATTCGCTGCGGGGGCTCTGTGTGGCGGAGCTGCAGGCTCAACTGGGGGAGGTGGCATCTGTCAAGTGCAGCGCAGTAGACCAGGGGGGCAAACAGCAGCAACAGCAGCAGCAGAAGGGCAGAGAAGAGGAGAAGCTGGAAAGATCGCAAGGAAAGAAGGACGAGTCGACCAAAGGGAACCAGGAGGAGGAAGGAGACGGGAAGAATCCTCCTTCCAGAAGTTCTTTTCCAGCAGACCCCGCCTGCGACCCCCCAGACCCGCTGGCTGCAGCCTTCTCTGCGCTCCTCTTCGCCCGCCCCTACGCCCCCCTCCCCCTCCTCCGCCTGCACCCCCACCCCGCTGTCGCTTCTGCTGCTGCCGACACCCTCCTCTCCCTCCTCGCCTTCCCTCCTCTCACACTCTCCTCTTCCTGGGTCCTCCTTCCCCCCTCCTCTTCTTCGCCCTCCTCCCCCCTTTCCTCCTACTGCCTCTCCTCCCCCCTATCGGTGCCGCTCGCCTTTCTGCTCGCAGAGATGCGAGACTGCTTCCGCTGTGCCACTCCCACCACACACCGTAGCACCACTGGTAACCAGGTAACTGGCAGGGTTGCCGGTGAGGGGAGCACCGGGGCAGGACAGCAGCGGAGGAAGAGGAGAAGGTCTGTTTGGCCTCGGGAGTGTCATACCTTCTCTCAAGAGGATTCCGCGTTGGAAGCCTGGTGCAGGCAACACGCAGCTGACCTGTCGCCGTGTGCTGACGTGGCGGAGTGGGATTGGACGGCGGAGGAAGCGGAGGCGCTGCTGCGGTTTGACCTGGTGGCTCTGTCCTCGGGAGTGACACAAGGGGCTCTGCTGTGCGCTGACAGCATCAAAGCAAATACAGCAGCAGCAGCACCAGCAGCAGCAGCAGCAGCAGCAGCAGCGGTGGCGGCAGCGGCAGCAGCAGCACCATCAGCGGCACAGCAAATGGCGGCAGGCATTTCCTTGCTGCTTCGTGCCCTTTTGTCAGACTACCGCCGCTGGACTCACCGCCTCTGGCCACTCCCGCGCTGCCAGGTGGCGGCGTTTCACGGGCTGAGGACCGCCTCTCAGGCAGCGTTCCGAGGCGAGTGCATGCTGGTGGGTTTCGATGCGACGACTACTGCAAGCACATCCGCTGGAGCCACTGCCGCAAGTGCAGTCCTGGGTGCACCTGTTACTGCTGGTGCTGGGGATGCTACTTCTGCAGAATCAGAGAGTACAAGCGTTGAGAACGATACCACTAAGGATGTCACTGGCAAAACTATTGCTGGGAGGAGGGCTAGGAGCAGCACCAAAGGTTTAAGTGCTGCTGCCCTTGTGCTCGCTGAGCTGGCGCTTAGCTGGCATGACGTGGCGTGGGCATTGCAGGAGGGCGAGGCCTGTGCTGGTCTGAAGCTGGAGGCTCTGGCATGGGTCCGACAGATGTCTGAGTCAGCATTGGCTGAGTCAGCATTGTCTGAGTCAGCATTGGCTGAGTCATCAGGCACAAAAGCACTTACAGCAGCAGCAGGAGCAGCAGCACAAAATGCAGCATATACAGTGTCACCTTCGCACTCTATTGTCCGCCCTTCCCTACCCACCATACCACCTCGCCTCCTCCTCTCTCTCACCTCCTCTCTCCTCCACCCTTCTTCCTCCATCCGGCTGGCAGCGGCTGACAGCTTGTCGCTCCTCGCAGCCACAGGGGCGCTCGTCGGCCGACAAGCTTCGTCTGTAGCGCAAGTGGCGCTGTTTCAAGCGGGCGGCGATCAGGATTCCGCCGTTCGCAAGGCAATGCAAGAGTTGATTCAGAAGGCGTTGCTCTCTGCTGCTGTCTCCCCCACCATCCCTCGTCCTCTCCCCCTCTCTCCTCTCCATCCTCTGTTTCTGAACCCCCCTTCTCTCACCTCTCCGTTTCTATCACTCTCCCCACCTTCACTTGTTTCCAAACCACCTGAGACTCTCCGTGGGCCTTCTTCAGGTGAAATGTGGCTCCTGAAAGCCGTAGCTTCAGGTGACTTGCCAGTCCACCTGGCGTCGGCGTCAGGTGATTTACCACTCAAGCCACATCAGCTGGTGGCGATTCTCAACCTGCTCTCCCGCAAGCAGTCCACGGCAGCACCGCCGCCGCATCCCGATTGGCTGCTGCGGATCCTGCTCACCCTCCCATCCTCTCCTCCCTCCACTTCCTCTCTCCCCTCACCTCCCCCTCTCCCTCAACCCCCTCCTGCTTCATCTCAATCCACGTCAGCATCATCAACAGAGGCAGTAGCAGCAGATAGCGAGCTCGACAGCTGGCGCCAGCTGGCGGCGGTGAACGACGAGCTGGTGCTGAGGTGGCTGGTCCAGCTGGCAGCGCGGCAGTGCATGAGCGGGCGGCTGCGCACGCATCACGGGGGAGCATCTGCCACGTTTGCAGCCTTTGAACGGACTCTCTCCGATGCCACCACTCCCACTCTCGCCCGCCTGCCCCTGCTGCCCAAAGGGGTGGTGGTGGTGGTACCAGGGAAGAGAAGGACACGAGAAGGAGGAGGAGGAAGCAAAGATTCCCCGTCTTCAGCTTTGGGCCGAACCAGCTCAGCAGGTTCGGGCGGAGCTGGTTTGGCAGGTGGATATGGTAGTGTATCCTCAGCTTCATCCTCTCAACTGCCCCTCGCTTCCTCTCCTTCTCTCTCGCCCTTCCCTGCTCCTTCTCTCTCGTCCTTCCCAGCCCCATCCACCTCCTCTTTCACTCTCCTCTCCTCCTCTTCCGCTTCCCCTTCCCACTCTGCTTCCTCCACCCCGTCTCCCCTGACCAACCTCCCCCCGCCTCCCCCTCCCATCTGCACCGGTGCTGACCTGGCACTCGACCTGGACGCGCCACGTCAGCACGAGCTGGCGCTGATCTCCCTCCTGGATTTCATGGAGGCATTAGAAAGGCAGGTCCAGTCAGCAACGGAGGGAAATTCCTTCATCCCGCCCCCCTCCAACCCTAACAGCCTCGGGTTTTTCCGAGCCAACAGGCGCGTATGCAAGGAGTGGTTCGGAAGGTTCAGGGAAGGTTTGGTGCATCTGGCGCTGGGGGTGGGGCGGAATGGGGCTGTGGTTTTCCATGCAGGGAAGAAACTAGGGGAACTAAAGTGCCCTGTGGAAGTGAGAGAGTGGGAGTGGGAGTGGGACGGGGATGGGGAAGGGGATGAGGAAGGGGATGGGGAGGGAGTGGGGGATGGGCAGGGGGAGCGGCGGCAGCAGGTGCAGCAGCAGCAAGGGTGGGCCAGCTCAGCGACAGATGTCACTCACGCAGTGCGCCACCTGGCGTTCGGTCTGTGCCAGTCCCGCAATGCAGACGCGATAGCTGGGCTGAGGGAGTGGCTGCAGGTGCTCGTGCTATCGCTGCCGCACCCTCCTGCCTCGGCCTCGGCCTCGGCTGGTGTAACTGCAGCGAATACGGCAGCTGCTGCAGCTGAGCTTCTCCAGAAACACGTGTGGCTTCTAAAGGGGATGGAGCTGGAGGCAGATGGAAGGTTCGAGGAAGCTGCTGGGCATTACAGAGGGATGACGGAGACAGGAAGGGCAGACGAAAGTGGGGAAGGTGGGGCAAGAGGAACAAGGGCGATGGGATTGGCAGAGAAGGGTGGGTTGGGGCGAGTGGTGGAGTTGGGAGCAGGAGAAAAAGAGGGACGGGGAGGGGGAGAGGAGGAGGAGGAGGAGGGGGAGGGGTCTGTGATGGGTGCACGGCTGATCGACGTGTACAGCGCTGTGGGGGACTTGCAGCAGCTGCAGGCGTTCCTCAAGGTGCTGCTGGGTGCTGCTGGGTGCTGCTGGATGCTTCTGGATGCTGTGTTTCCTTGCTGTGTGCCCTGCTGTGCTGTGCTTCCTTGTGTTCGCTACATGCTCCTAAGCACTCATCTGTCGTTCGTGTCACTCTTGGCACTCCTGCATAACACGTTTAATTTGACCTTCACCACCAGCTCACACTGACTCCTCGTCTTACCCTCTCTCCCCCTCTTCTTCCTGTACCAATCTCTTTCTCTTTCCTCCTCTGATAAATCCTCTTTTGTCCATTGCCCCGTCCCTTCCTATTGTCTGTCTTCCCTGTGCCCCTACTCTCCCATATCCGGCCATTCCAAACCCGGCCATTCCGAACCCGGCCATTCCAAACCCGGCCATTCCGAACGCAGGCCAATCCTCTGAGCCAAACAGCCGAAGCTGCCACATCAGCATGCTTGCACTTCCAGCAGGACGTGTCATCAGCTCTCTCCCTCGCATCCTTTGACCCACTCCTCCTCACCCCCAATGACTCCACTGCTGGAGGCACGGAGGTGGGAATGGGAAGAGCAGCCCACCGAGCCCCACCTCTGCTGCAGCCGCTGCTGTCTGCTCCTGCGCGATCCCTGGATGTATTCTCAGCCTTTAGATTCGCCCGGCACAATGCGATCGCCGCGATGCTGTATCAGGGGAGAACGGCCCAGCAGGAGCAGCGGCATGCACCAGCAGCGGCAGGAGCAGGAGCAGGAGCTGGAGTAACAGGGATACCAGCAGGAGCTGGAGCAACAGGGTTACCAGCAGGTTCGACACCAGAAGCACAGTCGATTGCATCAGCAGGAGCTGCTGCAAATCCCAACGAACCTTCCTTGAAGGTGCTTCTGGATGGGCTAGAATCTGCCAGGTCAGCGCTGGGTCGGCCTCTGCTGTCTCTATCCGCAGACAGCTATTCCACGAACCCAGCAGCAGCCATTCCACTGGCACTAGCAGCATTGGAATGCTCTCTCCTGCACGACACACTGAAAGAGTACGGCAGCACTTTAGAGGCGCCTCCTGGAGGCGCATTAGGAGGCAGTGCTTTAGAGGCGCCTCAACAGTACAACGCGTTGAAGCAGCACAGCACACGGCAACAACACGCAGATGGGGGTTGCACGCACCACCATCACCACCACCACCACCACCACATACACAACCTGTTCGGTTCTGGTGGGTTGGTAGGAGACAGTTTTTCGCCTGCCAGTTGTCACGATGATTTAGGCTCGTTGCTCTGGGAGCTGCCCCCTTGGCTCGGGGTGCTCCGAGCCTGCCACGTGGCCCTGCCACGGCCTGCCGAAGCTGCCTCGGTGCTCCGGCTGCATCTGGCGCAGCAGGCCAGGCTCGGTGGGAACCTGCGGCTGGCGAGCCGGCTGCTATCCGGTTCGGTGGCAGCTCCGGTAGGTCAGCAGCAGGTTCGGCAAGATGAGGTGAGAGGAGAGCTGGAGGCGAGGAGAGAGCTGGGGATGTGGAGAGCAATAGAGGTGTGTGAGGTGGCGCATGCTGATGGGCGGTGCTTGGATGCTGTGAAAAGGATGTGGTCAGTCTGTGGCCCGGCTATGGCTGCCATGCCATCTGCTGCAGCAGCTGCACACATGGGAGCAGCAGCATCACCAGCATTGGCATCACCTTCGGTATCAGCACTGGCAGCAGTGCATCTTTCTCCTCACTGTAATTCTCTCGCCGCCCATGCCTGTCTCAAGCTCGCCAGCTGGCTGCTTCCCATTGGCTCCGTCAACCATGAGGGTGAGGCCACTTCAGGAAACGGACAGCTGGCAGCCTTGGATTGGCTCTTGGCCAGCACAGCGAGTGGAACTTCTTTGGTCCTTCCCCCTCCTTTATTGTCACGCGGTGTACTGTCACAGCAGCATGCTGCATCCATGGCCGCAGGATCCTCTTTCAAAGATTCAATCCGAGCCATCCATTCCACTCAACCAAATCTGATTCCGGAATTAGATTCAACCGCCCTGTCCAACCCTACTAGCCAAACGAATTCCACAGGGCAATCCAATCCTGCAAAGCTGGATGTTTTGTCTGTAGCAGGGGCGGCGGTGTGGGCGGCAGTGGGGGCGTGCAGCGAGATGCCGCGAGCGTGGCTGGCATACGCCCAGTGGCTGGACTGCATGGCTGACACACGCATGCCCTGCCATGCTGGCATGCTTGGTGCTGACGTGGCGCAAGGCAATGGCACAGGAGGGGAAGGAGAGGGGAGAAGGGAGGATGGGGAGGAGCAGGAGGTGGATGTGGTAGCAGCGCTGCCTGCGTCTCTGGATGATGATTACCCTGTCAATTCTGCTGCTGCTGCTGCTGCTGCTGCTGGTATCAACGGCATAAGTAAATCGAGGTCTGGGCAGGGTGCCATCTCCCCACCATCTTTTCAGCTGCCAGATACCCTCTCGCTCTCTCCTGCACTCTCTCCTCTTGGGGCCGGTTTTGGTGCAACTGCTGCTGCACCTGCTGCCGCTGCAGAAACCGCTGCTGCTGCTAGTGAAGGGGTGCATGCTACAAGTGGTGCATCGGAGACTGTCCTTGCTGGGTTCACGGAGGGAGAGAGGGAGGCTGTGCTGTGCGCTGTTACCCACCTTCTGAACCACCTGCGTCTGTCCGTACCTCATGCTGGTAGTACCTCTACTGGTATTGATGTTAATACTGCTGGCAGTGCTGGTGTTACTGCTGCTTCATCCGGCACAGAGGCGGCCGAAATGGTCGCGGAGGGAGCAGCAGCACTAGAAGCAGCAGGAGAAGCAGCACAAGCCTCCGCGCTCCCAGCTGCCCAATCACTCGCTGCCACGTGTCTGGCCATCATGCACCGATTCCTGCTGCTCCCAGCCCCACCAGCCTCGTTCTCCAACACTCTTCCCCAGCCCCTCTCCGTCTCCCCCTCTCATGTCAAGTCCAAGGGAACAGATGGATTGCATGTGGTCGGCACGGGAGGGGATGTGGGTGGACTAGATGCGGGTGGGTTGAATGGTGGGTTGGACAGTGGGTTGGACGGTCGGTTTGAGGTGCGGTGCGTGGGAGGAGTGTCAGGGGCGAGTGATCAGGTAGAGGAGTGCTTACGCCAGGAGTTGCTGCAACAGCTGAGGGCAGAGCTAGCGCAGCAGCTTAGAGCCGTGCCGGGAGGAGAGCAGCTGGGTTACTGTGGTGAGGATAACAGTGGGGATGATGCTGCTGCTGCTGGTGCCGCTGGCACTGCTGGTGCTGTGGCAGCGGTGGCAGCACCAGCAGTAGAAACGACTGTGGCAGCAGCAGTGCATCTGCTGCTCGCCACCTGGCGCACCGCCCGTTTCCGTGCGCTGTCAACGCGACACCTGGCAGCGCGCGCGTACATGCGTTTCCTGCAGCTGACTGGGTCGTCTTGGGGAGGAGGAGGAAAGTGGGGTGGGGTGTTGTGGGAAGGAGGAGGGGTTGGTGGGAGGAGTGGGGAAGATGGCGGAAGGAAGAGCAGGAAGAGGAGCAAGGGGAGTGCGAGTGGTGCAAGGGAGAATGGCAGGGAAGAAGATACGATGAGCAGGAAGGAGGGATGGTCGCAGGGTGTGGAGGGGTTGGAGAGAGGTCAGAAGGGGTGGGAGGCTGCTGGGATGGGTGGGGCGAAGCAGAGCGGGTGGGAGGAGAGGATGGAAGAGGATGGTGGCTTGTGTGGCGAGGGAGCTGCGGCTGGTGGGAGTGGAGTGCTGACATGTGTCGCGATGCGAGTGGTGGATATTCTCATGCAGCACGGCTCGCATATGCCGCCCGTGATTGCCACCCCCGTGGATGTTGGATGCCAACATGCCTGGCAGGTTTGTCTGGGGAGAGAGTGGAATAAAATATACATCTTGAAATGGAGCTGTGTATGGATGGAGCCGGCTCCTCCGGACATTCAGTGCTTTCGTCACTCTTGAAGTGTCTCGAGAATGGAGTCAGCTCCTTCTGGCTGGCAGCACTGCCACAGGCGCTGCCAGGTGCTGTGAGGAATCTGGGCCCAGTTGCTTCTCGCCATGGCTGCCCCCTTTTTGTACTCCCACTTTTCACATCCCACATTCTCACCCCTTCCTCCCTTTCCTTTCTTCCCACACCACCTCCTTCCCTCCCTCCCTTCCCGCAGCCCATTCTCCCGCAGCTCCTCGCAGCAATATCAGCACAGCGCAGTGCATCAGTCAGGCTGCAGCTGACACGTGTCCTGCTCTCATTGGCCGGCGCCGTCCCGGCCCTGGTGGTGTTCCCGTTGTGTGCGGCTGAGAAGCACCGCCTGCAGCACCTCAGCCTCGCGCTCGCCTCCCTCCCTGCTGCTGCTCCTCCTACCGCCCCTCCTCCTACCGCCCCTCCTCCTACCGCCCCTCCTCCTGCCGCCCCTCCTGCCGCCCCTCCTGCCGCCCCTCCTGCCGCCCCTCCTGCCGCCCCTCCTGCCGCCCCTTCTGCCGCCTCTCCTTTTTCTCCCCCACATTTCCCGGCCAATCTGGCCGGTTCCACAAATGCTGCTGTTGCTCCTTCGTTCGTCGATGCTGCTGATCCATCAGTCGTGGTTGGTGACGTGGCAGCTGACCTGGCATGGCACGTGGCGCTATCTCAAGCCACACCGGGATGGCATCAGCTGCGAGCCGCTCTTTCCTTCCTGGTACTCGTTTGGAGACCTGCTCCCTCCTACCCTTCCTCCTACCCTTCCTGCCCTTTCTCCTATCCTTCCTCCTGCCCTTCCTCCTGCCCCTTCCGTTCCGTGCCTCTCTACCTCCAAATTTCCCTGCCCCTACCTCTCTATCTCAATGTTTCCCCACACCCAACTTCGTTTCTCTTGCAGTTGCTCTCGAGGAGCATACCGAAACATGTTTGTTGGTGGTTCTCTTACTCTCAAAGTAAGCGACATTGTTTGGGCAGAGATCGACGAAATCAATGGCCCATGGCCATCACAGGTGGTTGCCTTACGTGGCGGCACACAGAGTCTTCTTTCAACAAACGATGCCGTCCGGACTGATGGTCCAGCACGCAAAGCAAACACCTGTGATGGTCATGGGCCATTGATTTCGTCAATCTCCGCCCAAACAACGTCGTCTACTTTGAGAGTAAGAGAACCACCAAAAAACATGTTTCAATACGTCCTCTACAAACCTTCGATTTCTCCCTCATTTTGCACCCCACCCCACACTCGCAGGAGCACCACCATCCAGCCATGGTGACATCAGCGCGTGCGCTGCTGACATCAGCGGATCGCCTGGCGGTTTTACCTGAAGAGAGATTGCTATCCTCCCTGCAGTCCTGCCTTTCCCTCCTCCACCGCTCCCTCTCCTCCCTCCTCCTCTCCACCCGCCACCAACTCGCCGCCTCCTCCGCTGCCGCTGCTGCTGCCGCGGCTCCCATCCCAGCTGCCGGTGATGTGCGTGGGGGGCAGAGACAGGGGCTACGGCAGGCACATGCTACTGCTTCTGGTACTGCTAGTGCTGGTGTTGCTTTGGCAGGCTCGCCCCTTATAGCGGCTGTGATTTCGGAGGTTGCGAATATGGTTGTGGGGAGTGGAGGGGAGGGGGAGGGGGAGGAGGGAGAAGCAGGGAGAGAGGAGGAGCGGCAAGAGGCAGGGGTGGGGATGGAAGGGGAGGGAGAAAAGGGGAATGGGGTGGGCGAGGGGGAGAGGGAGAGGGAGGAGCTAGCACAGGACGACAATGATGATGATGATGGTGGCAGGGGAGTGGTAGACACTGCAGTGCCTGACATGCTGCTAGGTGGTGCTGCCACTGCCGGAGCTGCTGGTGCTGCTGCTGATGGAATCGAGTCTGCAGCACATGCGTCTGGAATCCCTGCAATCTCGGCAGCAGTTGTTGCTGCCACTCCTGCCGCCGCTGCAAGCAGTGCGCCATCGATGCCAGCAGTGCAGCCTGTCCCCTCAGAGGAGGCGGTGCGAGCTGCCTTTCAAGTCAAGTACCAGGAGATAGTGGCGGGTGTGGTGATGCGTCTGCAGGGGATTCTGCACATCTGGGATGCTGATGCTGCTGCCACTCTCAAGGATTCTGCTGCTACTGCTACTGCTGCTGGTGCTGGAGCCACTGCAGCTAGCACTGCTGCTAGTGACGCAGCAGCAGCTGCTGCACAAGCCCCAACCCCACACACCAGCAGCCTTCTCTTATCTCCCCTTACAGCCTGCCTCTCCCCTCGGGAACTCCATCTGCGTCCAAAGCTCCGCCCTCTCATCTCTGCAGCTGTAGCGGCGCTGCAGTCGCCGCCCGCTGACGTCAGCAGCGGCGCACTACGAGACAAATGCCGCCCGCTGGAGGCGGCTGTAGCGGCGCTGCAGAGGGAGCAGAGGCGGTTCCTCGCGCTGCCAGATGTCGCACCAGGATTCGCCGATTTTAGGGACACTGCAGCCCCAGTCCCTGGTTGCTTATCCAACTCCGTTACAAGCAGATTCGTTACAGGGAGTAGTGATTTTGACGCTATAAAGAATTTTTGTGCTTATAACGAAGGGCTAGTGACAGTAGCTGCTGTGAGAGACAAGGTGGAAGTTCTCAGCACCAAGACCCGCCCCAAGCGCATCGTGATCGTCGGATCCGACGGCCAGGATCGCAGCTTCCTGATCAAGGGCCGTGAGGACCTCCGATTGGACGCGCGGATCTCCCAGCTCTTCCAAGCAGCCAATGCGCTGATGCAGAGCCACGGACCAACCAGGAAGCGACAGCTGGCGGTAAGGCAGTATGAGGTGGTGCCGACGGGGAGTCAGTCTGGAATGATTCAATGGTTGGAGGGGCTGCATAGCCTGTACTCACTGTATAAGGCGTGGCAGTCACGACAGGCTGCTGCTGCCACCGCTGCTGCTGCTGCTGCTGCTGCTGGCGGTGCTGCTGGTGGTGGTGTGGGAGGGAAAGGGCCAGCAGCGGCATCATCGGCAGCAGCAGCAGCAGGAGCAGCAGGAGCAGCGGCAGCAGCGGCGGCGCCAGCAGCAGCAGCAGTGCAGCGGCCCACGGAGATGTTTTTTGCCAAGGTGTCGGCAGCGCTGCAGGCGAGAGGCATGAGTCGGAGCACGCCGCGCTCTGATTGGCCGGCGGACTTGAAGCGCGGCGTGTTTGATGTGCTGGCGCGGGAAGTGCCACGTCAGCTGCTGGCGAAGGAGATGTGGAGCTCAACGACTGGCTCTGAGGGGTGGTGGGGCAAGCAGCAGCGGTGAGTGAATTGAGGCATGCGAGATGGTTAGCAGTTAGTGGTTGTTAGTGGTTGTTAGTGGTTGAGAGGGGTGGAGCTCGACAACAGGCTCTGAGGGGTGGTGGGGCAAGCAGCAAAGGTGAGTGGGGAGAGGCGTGCGAGATGGTTAGCACTTAGTGGTTGTTATTGGTTGAGAGAGGTGCCGCTCAACGATGTGAGGACCAAACAAGGGGTTATGGAGCAGACAGCAACGGTGAGTGGGGTGATGTGAGGGGATGGAAAGGTGGGGATGGGTATAGACATTGGTGTGCATATGATGGCCAGTTGATAGAGCATGCCATGATGGAGCATGCCATGATGGGGCATGCCTTGACCCATTCATTCCAGTCGTTCTCCATGATTTCGAGAAGAAATCACTCTCTCCTTCATGTTCCCTCCTCTTTCTCATCCGATGCGGTCTCCATGATTTTCTGCATTTTTTTGCCCTCTTCGCTTCCCCCCCACCCCCCCTCAACCCACCAGCTACATGGCATCAACAGCCGTCACCAGCACAGCAGGCTACATCCTCGGAATCGGCGATCGACATCTAGACAACATCCTCTGGGACCTCTCCTCCTCCTCCTCCTCCTCCTCCTCCTCCTCCTCCTCCTCCTCCTCCTCCTCCTCCTCCTCCTCCTCCTCCTCCTCCTCCTCCTCCTCCCCCTCCTCCTCCTCCTCCTCCTCCTCCTCCTCCTCCTCCTCCTCCTCCTCCTCCTCCTCCTCCTCCTCCTCCTCCTCCTCCTCCTCCTCCTCCTCCTCCTCCTCCTCCTCCCTCGCCTCCCTCACCTCCCCCTCTTCTCTTGCCTCGACCTCTTCTGCCGGCTCAGTGGTGCACATAGACTTCACGGTGGCCTTTGACAGGGGTCGGCAGCTCAAGGTGCCGGAGCTCGTGCCCTTCCGCCTCACCACCACGCTCCCTTTCACCTGTGCCCCTCTCTCCCCCCTCCTCTCCCCTCCCTTCCCACCACCAGGTACATAGCATCAACAGCGGTCACCAGCACAGCGGGCTACATTCTCGGAATCGGCGATCGACATCTCGACAACATCCTCTGGGACCTCTCCTCCTCCTCCTCCCCTTCCTCCTCCTCCCCACCGTCCTCCACCCTCTCTCACCGCTCTGCATCGGGCTCAGTGGTGCACATAGACTTCACAGTGGCCTTTGACAGGGGCCGGCAGCTCAAGGTGCCGGAGCTCGTGCCCTTCCGCCTCACCACCACGCTCAGAGGCGCCATGGGGCTGCCCGGCACTCTCTCCCCATCCGGGCCTCTCCGTCACATGCCCTCCTCTCTCCCGTTTGCCCTCCCCCACCCACCAGCTACATGGCATCAACAGCCGTCACCAGCACAGCGGGTTACATCCTCGGCATTGGCGACCGCCATCTAGACAACATTTTGTGGGACCTCTCCTCGCCCTACCTCGCCGGTTCAGTGGTGCACATAGATTTCACGGTGGCGTTTGACAGAGGAAGACTCCTCAAGGTGCCGGAGCTCGTGCCCTTCCGCCTCACCACCACGCTCAGAGGCGCCATGGGGCTGCCCGGCGCTCTCTCCCCATCCGGGCCGTTTGCCGGTGCGGCTGTCGCCGCGTTTGAGGCCATGCGGGGCGGGCTGATGGGTGGAGGAGAGTGGGGCGGGATTGGAGGCGAGTGGAAAGGGATTGCTGCTGGTGGTGGTGGTGGTGGTGGTGGCAGAAACAAGGCGTGGAAGAGGAGAGCATGTGGGGGTGGGGGGAGGAGCGGGGAGTGCAGCAGGAGGGGGGCGGCTGCTGCCTGCACTCATGAGTGCGTTCCTCTGGGACCCTCTGGACGAGTGGGGAGGCCCGCTCGCTCCCACTGCTGCCACTGCCGCTCTCAAACCTGCTCCTGCTGCCACTCCTGCTCCTGCGGCTGCCCCTACTGCTGCTGCACCTAACGATTCACCAGTACCCGCTGCTGCAGCCATGCCAGCAGCTCCCCCCCCTGCTAAAGCCAACCCAGAGGCTGCGCCTCGACCTGCTTTTCCAGGTGGTATCTGGGACGGGGCGCTACTGCCGTGGGAGGCGGAGGTGGTGACAGGCGCTGCTGCACTGGGCGAGCACAGGGGGGGGTCTATCTGGGGAGGGTGGTCTCAGAATAGAGTTGGCAGTGCTACGCATCCAGTCAAGGGAGTCAAGGGAGTCAAGGAGGGTGCTTTGGAGGCCATGCTTGGCGCTGCCATGACACTACATGCCTTGACCCACTCCTCCTCCTCCCCCTCCACCAGTCCCTACCTCCTGGTCAGATTCCACCTTCCCCATACCCTCCCCCCTCTCTCCCCGCCCCACTATGCCCAACCCCCTCCTGCCCTCCGGGCTTCGCTCACCCGTTTTCTCCCTCTGTTTTGCACTCCAAGTGCTGCCACCATCCCACGTGTCTCTTGTCCTCATGCCTTTACCCATAGCCTAAGGTGCAAACTGTGTGCTTGTGTGGCCTTTTCTTGAATGCTCCCTCCCTGCAGCTGTCTCTGTCTCACCTGTGTGCACCGCTGCTGCCCCCGCTGCTGCGCACACGGTTTTAGGCGGCTCAAAAATCGACTCCTTCGCTGCATTATGAGAATTCTCAAACATCGCTCATTATGTGTTTGTTTCCTTACCTCTCTCTGTGCTATATATGCTAAAGTACGGACTCTTCTGCCACAACTGTGTGTGTCTGTGGCGCCCTCTGTTGCGTGCAGACATTGGCTCTCAGCCTATCTGATGCCGCCAAGTCAGCTGCTGCTTCTGTTCAGGTTTGACTCGCATGCACTTTCCATCTCCATCTCCTGAAACATGCTTTGTTCACTGTTGCACCAGGGTTTAGTCACTAATGTTCGGGTTCGGGGTTTGGGGTGTAGGGTTTAGGGTTTAAAGTACAGCTCTTCAAAGTTGGTGCATTGTTCATGCAAGTCAATGTGCAATGAGTGGTTGTGTTGAGGACATGGAATGGAATCGAAGGGAAGGCAGGACCTGTATCATTGTGTTTTTGCAGTGTTTTCATTATCATGAGACGCCTCAAACGTGATTGTGTTTTTGGAAAGCCTTAGCATTCCTTTGCGTGCTCTCACATCTCGGCTCACTTCATGTACTATGCATTTTCGTTTAACTTGTCCAACCCCATTGTGCCACATCAGCACCTTATCGAGACGTCCGAATCCAAGAACCAGGCTCACTCCGACCTTGTGGCGGCACAGGAAGGCTCCAAGAAGCTTCTTACCGAAGAGGAAGCTTCCAGGCAAGCGCTGCGAGCAGCCATGGAGGCCCTCTCTCGCGTCGGCGATCAGCATCGGGGGAAGGCTCGGCGTGCCGAAGCTAAGGCCGCAGCAGCCATTGATGCCGTGGGTGAGGCTCGGCGGTGGCTGGACGACAAGCGGGCGGCACTTGCTGAGCTGGCGCCGTCATTGCCTCCAGCTGTCGCTGTCTCTGGTGTTTCCACGCCTAGTCAGATTGGTGGGAGTGGGAGTGGGAGTGGGAGCGTTCGTTCTGCTGGATGGTTGATGGGAGAAGATGTGAAGCGGTGGGCTGCTGCTGCACTGGGCAACATGGCATGGCAGGACGGCAGTGCTGATTCCACCCTGCCTTTACTCCTCTCCTCATCCTCCTCCTCCTCATCATCATTATCAACATCATCGTTCCACTCACTATCACTTTCGTCACAGCCGGTAGTGTCACAGTCAGTGCCTAGCAACACACTGTCTCTTCTGGATATCACTACCAACCTGTTACCCGCCTCTGCTCCTCTGCAGCCGCAACAACAGCAGAAGCAGCAGCAGCCAACTGTAGTTCCCCCCGCCTCTGTAATCCCAGAGGCTCTCCGTGCCACCTGTCGCCAGCTGGACCTCCACGTCTGCCAGCTGGCGGCCGCGCGCTGCCGTGCCCTGCTGCGATTGGTCGCTGCGCTGAGGGCGTACGGGGAGGCAGCGGTGGTGGCAGGGGGGGTGGGGGTGGCGAGAGGGAGGAGGAGAGGCAAGGCGAGCGGCACAGCAGGATCTGCTGAGAGGGATACAAGTGACGGTGGAGAAACGGTTACCAGGCAAGGTGAAAACCACGTAAGCCACGGTGAAGAAGCAGTAGTTGCCAGACGACCACTGTATGACCCACTCACCACAACTGCATGCATAAACTCGTATCTGAGCACGAGTGCGGTGAGCCGGTGGGCACGCGCATTGGAAGCCACGGTCACAGCAGCCGGGCTGAGAGCGCTGCCAGCTGGTGTGGGGGAGAGGGAGATGCAAGACGAGGCGAGGGCGGCGAGAGAGGTGCTGGATGGGATGGGGAGGGTGGATGGTGGGGTTGGCGGTGGGAGACGCGTGTGGGCGCTGCCAGGAGGAGGAGGAGGTGAAGGGATGGTAGAGGGACCTGGCAGTAGCAGTGGCAGCGGTGGCAGTGGTGGCATTAGCAGTGGCAGTGGTGGCAGCGGCAGGAGTAGTGAGGAGCAATTGTTGGAGCGAAGGCAGGTGCTGGTGATGGCAGTGGAAGACGCTTGGAGGGCGGTGAGAGGGGAGAGTGGAGGTGGGCAAGAGGCCGAGAAGAAGACAAAACTAGAGGAGGAGGAGGGGGAGGAGGGTGAGGAGGAGCGGAAGAAAATGGTACTGGAGATTGAGCGGATTCTCAGAGGGGAGAGCGGGGGAGGTGACAACCAGGGAAGGCTGTACGCGTTGGTGACGGCTGTTGGCCTGGCAGCAGCAGCAACAGCTGCTGGTGCTCCAGGCGCTGCTGGTGGTGCTGCTGCTGCTGACAGTGATGCTTCCAAAAGAGAGGACTGGCAGACAGAGGGAGCAAGTGTTGGGCCAGGAATGGAAGGACTGGACAGCGAGCCGGCAGCGGGATCAGGCGAGGCGGCAGTGAATACAGAGGGAGCGCAGGTGGGAGCACAGAAGGAGGGAGAGGAAGAAGGGGTGCTGCGAGAGGAAGTGGCACGAGTGGAGGGCAGGATTTTGTTCGGCTCTGCACTGGCGTCTCTGCTGACTCAGCTGACGGCTGACGGTGTGAGTGTGGCGCAGGGCAGTGGGCGTGCTGAGCTGGCGGAGGAGTGTGCTGGCGAGCAGCACGTGGCACTGCCAGAGTGCCAGCAGCTGCCTTCCCTGCACGTGGCGTCCCAGCAGCAGCAGGAGCCAACGCAGCAAGAATCAATGCTTCCTTGTCCCGCTGCCCTTACTGCCGCTCCCTCCCTGCCATTCTCCCCACCCTCCTTGTCACCCCGCCCTCTATCAATCCCCTCTCCTTCGTCCCCTGTGCCCTCGCATCCCACCACCCCTCCTGCCCGCTTGCCTGCACGCCCGTCACTCTCTCAAGACACTGCTCCTGATGCTGACTCGATGGCTCTCTCCCATGCATTTGAGTCGACTCAAAAGCAGTCCCATGCAGCTGCTGCAAGCAGTGATGGAATCAGTGCAGTTGCGCCTCCTGACAGCACTGCCAACACTGCCAGCACTGCCAGCACTGCTTCAGGCACAATTGGCATGGAATCCGCATCATTTTGTCTTAGCCACCCAGCAGCGCCGTGCACTCGCGCTGCTGCTGGCAGCGGTGCGAGCAATGCAGCTGCCGCTGCTGCCACCATTAGCCGGTCAGCAGGCACAGGTGGTGGTGCTGCAGAGTCCTCAACCACTCCTGAGGGATCGGAGCACCTCGTCCCCCCTCTCATACCTCTCCCTGCTTTCAGAGAATCCTTGCAAGCAGCGCTTGATGCACTTCACGCTGCTCGCTCCCTCTCTACCCGCCACCTCCCACATCTGTTGCCGAGCCTCGTTCCAAGCCTCATTCCGAGCCTGCTTCCGAGCCGAGATCCAGGCATGTCGGGTGACGCTTCGTCACTAGGCAAGCAGGCGGTTTCGTCACCTTCTGTGGCGCAGTTCCTGGAAGCTTCTGACAGGATTGAGCGCCTGGTGCAGGGAGGGGGGAAGCTGGCCGCAAGTGACAGTAGAGGTGATGATAGTAGAGGGGGGGAGGAAAGCAGCAGTGGTGCTGTTGGCGGTGATAGTAGAGGGGGGGAGGGAAGCAGCGTTGGCAGTGCGGGTGGTGACATGGCAGGCGATGACTCATGGCTGCTGGGTGCTCTTGAGGAGGAGGAGAGGGCTATAGAGCAGCTCATGGGCTTACTCCCTGCATCTCCTGCTGCTGATGATGATTATGCAGGTGCTGTTGCTGCTGCTGCTGCTGCTGGTGCTGGTGCTGATGTTGCTGGTGCCAGTGATGCGGCCTCCACTGCAGAGGTTGCAGGGGAGCAGCAGCGAGGTAGCAAAGAAATGGAGCAGTCAGCCTCTGCACCATCGTCTCCCCCCTCTCTCACAAAGCAGCAGCACGAGCCGTTGCAACCAAAACCTGCTGTTTCTCCATCGCCTCGCCCTGATTCCTCTACTCCCCATTCCCCTCCCACCTCACCCCCGTCACAGTCCCCCACACCTCACAAGTCCCTAAGCTCCCTCTCCCCTCTCCCCGCTCCCTTCGTCCCTTCCCCTGCCTTCTCCCTCCCCTCCTCCCTCTTCTCCTCCTTTCACACCGCTTCCTCCTCCTCCCTCACCTCCTCCTCTTCCTCCTCCTCCTCCCTCTCCCCCGCCCCATCACCGCCGCCCAAGCCCAAGTTCCAGCTGGCGGACACTGTTCACGCCGCCCCATTCGTGCCCAGACAAGCAATGCTACACCACACTGCTGTTCCCTACACCCCATCCCTGCCTGCTGCTGCTTCTGCTGCTGGTGGCGCTGGTTTTGCTGCTGCTGCCGCTGCGCCTGCTGCGCCTCCTCCTATGTCTCCCCTATCAATTTCTTCTCCATCAGCAACAGCAGCTGTTGCCGCAGCCAAGGCAGCATCAGCCAGAGCAGCTGCTCTTGTTGCTGCTGCTGCTTCTGCTGCTGCTCCTTGCATCATCACCATCATCAGCACCACCAACATCACCAGCACTATCAGCACCAGCAGGGTCAAAAGCATCAGCAGCAGGGACAGCGGCTCCAGCGGTTGAAGCATCAGTACCATCGCTTTCAGCCCCTGCCCCCTCTGCCCTCTCTGCCCTCCCTGCTCCACCCCATCCCCTTGACCCATCGTCTAGCACTGATCTGATCCACCTTTACCGGTCTTTCGACTCTATTGCAGCAGCCCACTCTGCCTTCCTCTCTCTCCTTCCACCCTCTGCTGTCTCTGCTGCTCTTGCTGCCCCACCCATTTCCACTGCTGTAGCTGACTCTAAGGATGTAGCAGAGACAGTTTTGCCCTCCTCTCTTCTCCGTTTACCACCATCGGTTTGTCTGTTTGTGGTGCGGGTGCAACTGGTGGCGGCAGTGCTGCGAGCGTGTCTAGCTGATGGGGGAGCAGCAAACGCAGGGCGTGCTGAGGAGGGGAGGCAGGAAATTGGTGAGAAAAGTATCGCTGGCACAGAGGCAGAAGGGAGGGGTGAGGACTTGGAGGGGCAGGAGGGAAGCCAAAGTAGGGAAGCAGATCTTTCGAGGAAGATCCACGTGGCGATCCGTGGTTGGCTGAGGGCATACACTGCAGGGTGTCTAGGGCCGCTAGTGGAGGGCCTAGTGTGTCAGTTCGTGCACCCAGCCAATCTGGCTGCTGTGCTCCATGCTCATTCTGCCACCAACATTGGTGCCAGTGGCTCCGAGAACGCTGCTTCTGCCGCTTCTGTGGGTAGTTCTGCTTGTGCTGCTGCTGCTGCTGCTGCTGGTGTTGCTGCTGCTGGTGCTGTGGTGGGTGTTGACAGACAAGTGCTGCAGCTCTCGTCCCTCATTGGCCATTTCTGCCAGGCTGAGGTCAGCAAGCGTGCTGCTGACGCCAGCAAGCAGCACACAGCTGACGAGACTCCTCCTGGGCCATCCCCGCGCATGCACGCTGCACACGTGGCAGCCCTTGCTGCTGCACGTGCTGAGCTGGCAGGCTTTGATTGGCTGCACGAGCCTCAGCTGCCAGCTGGCTGTGTGACACCTGTCCCTGTTGTTGCCACCCTGGGGGTAAGCTCTAGCAACCTTGATGCTGCTGCTGGTGTTGTTGCTGTTCACCAAGCCTCACCTGTCCCCGCTGGTGCTGATGTTTCTGGTGCTGGTATTGGTGGTGGCATCGGCAGCAGTCAGCAGCAGCAGGAGCCGCAGCAGCCACTTCCGCCACCCCCCTCACGCACTGCGCTGCTAAGCCAGATCTGCGCTGATCTGGCCGTGGTGCTAAAGACAACGGAAGCCATCCAGATGTGGGAGGCGGCCGGCACCACTGTAGAAGCCGACCTGGACCGGCTGCTCTTCTGGTGGTATACCACCACTTCCCCCAGCAGCAGCACCAGCAGCACTACCACCACCAACAGTAACACCACCGCTGCCACCACCAGCACCACTGGCAGCGCCACCAGCAGAAGCAGCACCAGTGGCAGGGCATCAGCAGCAGCAGCAGCGCCGACCTCCCTCCCTGCAGCGTACCTGGAGCGCAAGCAGCGGCGGCGGCAGGTGCTGTGGGGGGGGCACGAGGGCGTGGGGCGAGTGGTGCAGGTGGTGGGCCGGGTGCTGCAGGTAGAGGCAGGCAGAGACGGCAGGGTTATCAAAGACCCCGTTGCTGCTGTCAGCGCTGCCGCGAACGCTGCTGCCAACGCTGCTGCTAGTGCTGCTACCAACCCTCCGTCAGGGCATGAGGGCGTGGGGCGAGTGGTGCAGGTGGTGGGGCGGGTGCTGCAGGTAGAGGCAGGCAGAGACGGCAGAGTTATCAAAGACCCTGTTGCTGCTGTCAGCGCTGCCGCCAACGCTGCTGCTGCTGCCAATGCTGCTGCTGCCAGTGCCTCTGCTGCTGCTCCGGTGCCTCTGTTCCCCACGGGGTTGCCAGCTGGCGGGCGGCCGGCTGCAGCAGTATATGGGCCGCTGCTGATGGACGTGGACAGGGCAGTTGCTGACGTGGCAGGTGAGGAGGGCAGTTGGACTCATCGTCTTCCTTCCCTTCACCCGCCTCTCCCGTCCTCTTCCCGCTCATTATCGAGTCGTTTTTAATGTCCATCCGTCTCAAGGGTTTTAAAGCCTAAAGTTTTAAAGTTTCAAGGGTTCCCGCCTCCCCACCGCCCCACCCGTCCATACAGCCTCGTCAGTCCATCTGCAGGCGGCACAGCAGGCAGAGAGGGCGGCTCGAGCGGCTCAGGTGGAAACAACAGAGGCGCGGCAAGCGGCTCAGAAGCTGGTCGACAGGCTGTCAGGTGAATTAGCAGGTTGTAGTTCACTGTCAGGTGTTGCAACAAGGTCTCAATCTCAGTGTGAGGTTTCAATATAAAGCTCTTAAAGACTGGACTTGAGAAGTTAGACTCCTAAATAAGCTCCTCTCACACTCGCATTCGCCACTGATCGACTGAACTCTGAACCCTAAACCCTGTGTCCCTTTCTCTCTTCGTCCCCTCGCTCCCTCTAATCCTCCTCAACACCCGGAACCCCCCGTTACAGACACTCTGCAGCAGCAGTCAGCCAATCACAGTGCGGCCCTGTCCCAAGCGCACCAAGCAGCAGCTGGCCTCTCATTGGCTGCTGCCAGCCTCGCCCCCTTCCTCTCCCACTCCATCGTGCCACTCATTCGCCAGGTCAGGGTCAACGCTGGTCAATGCTGGTCAAACAAGTCAAGCAGGCAATCTGGTCAATGCCAGTCAATCATTTCTGGTTCATACTGCAGGCTTGTTCTTATCCCAACTCCTTTCTGCATTGTGTGTGGCCACTCTCCTTGCCCTCAGATAAATTTGAGGCACATAATTATTTCTTCTCCTTGCCCTCCTTTGATAAATTTGAGGCACATATTTAATTTTCCTCCTTGTCCTCCTTTGATATATTTGAGGCACATATTTTTTTTTTTTTCTCCTTGGCCTCCTTTGTCTTCACTCACTTGCTACCACTCTGCTTCTCCTACACTCCATCAGGTATCGGACGCGGCATCTGCAGTGCAGGGCTCAACCATTGCTGCTATAGTAACGCCGGATATTGTCACATGTGCCGAGCGAGTGCACTCAGAATGCCGCAGTTTCGTTGACCTGCTCGAATCAGTAAGAACTTCTTTGCTCAAGCCAATCAGTCTAATTATACATACTCCATCCACTGTGCTCAAGTCCCCATGCATGGTTGGTCCATGGTGCCCATGCATGGTTGGTCCATGGTGCTCATGCATGGTTGGTCCATGGTGCTCATGCATGGTTGGTCCATGGTGCTCATGCATGATGCCCATGCTAACTCAATGATGCACAGGCACAGTGCATGTATATTCTTCTCACAACTGTGTCTAGTATCCATGTATGGGAATCTGTCCTGCTGTCGGGAATCTGTCTAGTCTTCTCACAACTTTTCTCCTTGTATCCATGTCCCAAACCATCCAAACCTGCCTTCCTCCCAACCTCACTCACTCGCCTTCGCAGGTCCAAGGAGCAACATCTCCTCTTCCTTCCTCGCACCCCCACCACCTCTCCGCTCTCCTCAACCTCTCCACCTCCCTGCACCAGCAATGCTCCTCCCTCCTCCCATCCGTCTCTCATCTCGCACGCACCACCCTCTCCGCACTCCACACCCTCCGCCTCTCCAAGCACCGCCAGCTGGCAGCCCCGTCAGCGTCGCCAGCAGTGCGAGAGTCTGAGCTGGCGGCAGAAGCGCCGCCAGCAGGGCGGGTGTCGGTGGAAGCTTTGGATAGCGCTGTGCTGGCGGTGTGCAGGCGCGGTGAGTGGTTTGTGTGTGCCTCGCTGCTTGCCTAGAGTCATGTTTGGGACATCGGGAATCGGCTCGCTAAAGAGGGGTGTCGGTGGAAGCTTTGGATGGCGCTGTGCTGGCGGTGTGCAGGCGCGGTGAGTGCTTAGCGTGTGCTCCCTGGGGCCTGGAGTCGTTCTGCTGCTTATGAACAGTGTTTGTCACAAATGAATGCCAAAGCGGTGTCGGTGGAAGCGCTGGATAGCGCTGTGCTGGCGGTGTGCAGGCGCGGTGAGTGCTTAGTGTGTGCCTCGTTGCCCACCCGGAATTATCTCGTTCTCTGTCATTGCTGGGTTGGGACAAGTCAATGAATTTTCCGAGACAAATGTCGATGGAAGCTTTGAATGGTGCTGTAGCGGCGGCAAGTCGGTGCAGTGAGTTCTGCTTCCTGTTCCCGCAACCCTAGAATCCCCCTTGTTCCCATGTCCCCCCTACCTTCCCCCCCACCCCCCCATATTTGTATGCGTTCCATAACTTTCCTGACTTGTCCTTCTTGCGTGACTTGCTTGACTTCCTTGACTTGCTTGACTTTGCTTGGCAGAGGCAAAGGCGAGGCAGCATGCGGAGCAGGTCATATGGCACCTGCAGCAGAAGCTCAACAAGCAGGACCCCCTCCTGCTCGCTGCTGCCACTGCAAGGTAACATGCCATGTCCATCCACGCCATTGTCGCTCCACGTCTCATCATCATTCCCGCCCTGCCTTCATTCTGCCCTGCGTTCTTACAGCGTGGCTGCCTCCGGGTTGTTTCGCAAGTCTTATCCCTGTCCCTTTTCCAACTCTGGCACTCCTGTGTGCAGCAACAGTACCTCCACATTGCACAAGCCTGCAACTTTTCAGAAGATGCTTTCAACCAAGAAGGTGGTGAGGCAGTTGCTGGTGGAGGCATGTAGCCCGGACAACCTGTGCGAGATGTACGAGGGCTGGATGCCCTGGATCTGATTGGCCTCACAACACAAGGAAAAAAAAACTGCAAGGGTCGTGGGGGAGAATCAAGGTTGCAGGGGGGCGTGGCGGATGATGGAAGTGCCGGGCACCAAGGGAAAGGAGGGGGGGAGGAGCGGGGGAGCGGAGGAGAGGACGGGTACTAAATTAGCTAGTGACTTTGCTAGTGACCGTTTTTCAATTCTAGCACTTATGTAGATTGTGTTGTGCCTAATGTACCTGTTACCAGAATGTGTTTGCGATTAGCGAAGCTGGGTGTAGATATGCGCGAAAGCTGATGTGGCCGCCATTTGGAGCACCTTAAACATGTTGGCGGCGGTTTGTTGGATAAGCCTAGCCCAGTCCACTCGATCTGAACTGTTCAGGTCCGCGCAAGACGACAAATGACAGGTTAGTCAGGTGGAAATCGAAACATGTCATTGGTACACCCCCTTGAGAAATATTTTCCTCGAAACGAGTAACTTTCGCCTATCTCGTTGATATTTCTTCCTCTGGTTCTTAGACGAACGTGGCGAAATTCTTGACATCAAAGCCCTGGATTTCACTCGTCAGGCATATCTGGCGTGTCTGGGCCATAAGCCCGCGACTCGGAAGGAATTAATGCTCGAACCGCGCATCTTAGTCAGGCCAACCACATGCCTCCTACAGTACGCCTTGCTTCCTCCTCTTCTCTCTCGTTTTCACATACACATCTCGTTCTCAACCACTTTTCTCTCTCAACTGCTCCACAGATTCGACACTTGATAGTATGGCTGACTGAACAGCGGGGAGGGGGTACGGGCACCACTCCTGAACGCACTGCACAGTGAGCCTAGCTCCAAAGCAGTTCATTTGTAATTGTGACCAGATTATGCGAAAGGAACTCGTCGAAGAGCAGTACTGTAGTTGTGACTCGAGCTGGTTTTGTACTTTCGTTCACTCGCCCCGCAGAAATTATCAGTCACGACGGCTCCTCGCCTCCTTCGTTGCACCTCAAGGCCGTGCTACCACCACTGATACACGCGAGCACCCGATCCCTTCCTCTCATTAATTCGTACTAGAAGGAAGCTCCACTTTCTCGAGCAGGGTATAGTCTACTCGGGAGGCGTTTCGTCTCTCGGAGAATAGCAGCTCTCGCCGCTTCGGTGCTCAACACGAGAAATTAAATTCCAAACTAAATCTTTGCCAGCCGCAAAGCTTTCACGTCAAGAAGGTTCGAATTCAACGCAGCCGCCCAGACCGCGCGTCGAGCTAGTAGCACTTGAGCGATTCGACCGTCGTTCCATTTTATCGCGGTGGCGGCCTGACGAGAAAACTTCCGCCGTCAAGTGTCGCCAGCGCTGATCAACAGATTCCGTCAGCGCTGATCAGCAGATTCCGTCAACAGATACCATGGCGTCGCCGCGCTCAGCGGCCGCCTCCGTGTCACGGCGACTGTCGCGGCTCCGAGTGGCGCTTGCGATGCTGCTGCTCTTTTCGCCGCTGTCGTCGGCCAGCGGAGTCGCCATGAGCAGCGATGCAGGTGCGCAGCGATTCGGGCTCGCTCGTGCACTACCGTTTCAGCAGAGCTTGCTCAGCTGAATCTGAGGAATGTCGCCGCATTCCGCGTCGCGACGGCAGATTCGTTCTTCTGGAGGTGCCATTGAACCTAATCTCTGTTTAGATTCGCCTCAGAAATAGCTTCCGCCGTTACGACGACAAGCTCGTTCTTTCTGCAGGTTGGAAGCTTAGTACCCTTTCCGGGGCCACACTACCTTCTGCGTGTAGTGAAACGATGTTGAGGCGAGGCGCAACACTGGATTCCTCACGTATCTCTCAGATATCAGGCTCAGATTTGATCCTTCTATCCCCTTTGTCGTTTTCTGCACGTCCGTCGCGTCGCAGAGGCGGCACTGCTACAGTTGCTCGACGACGCGCAGGTGCCGCTATCGGACTGGGCGGAAGGTCAGACGTGCACGCCGGACGGCGACGTGCAACCATCCTCGGAGGGATGGACGTACGTGCGATGCGACTCCAACGGTCAACCGGTTTCGCTGTAAGTCAACGGTTCTCTTCGTGAGTCAAAGCGTGGCTTTTGGGCACAGTTTGGCCGCTGGAGTCGCCGAACACGTCGTCGTCGTCGTCGTCGTCGTCGTCGTCGGTAGAGTGGACGTACGTGCGCTGCGACTCCCACGGTCAACCAGTTTCGCTGTAAGTCACTAGGTGTCGTTGTGAGTCAATGCGTGTCTTTTGAACCCATATAGACCGCTGGAGTCGCAGAGCCACGTCGTCGTCGTCGTCGGAGGGATGGACGTACGTGCGCTGCGACTCCCAAGGTCAACCAGTTTCGCTGTCAGTCACATACCTCCGTGAATCAACCCCGTGTCGAGTCTCAAGCCCCGAGTCGCATGCACTTCTACTTCCTCAGCTTCGTTAAACACCTCTTTAACTTCCCCAACTAAGATCCTTCCTATTCGTGTTGCCGTTTTTCCTCACTTTTTCCTCCCTCTCTCCCTCCTTTCCCCCCACCCGCAGCGCGCTCAACTTGATGGGCCTCGTGGGGAACCTCAGCCCGTAACTCAGCATTGAGATGTCTCAAAGAGATTTCAGGGTCAATCCAAACGCGAGTTGACCTCGTTCCTCCTCCCCCTTCTCCCTCCCCCCACCCGCAGCGCGCTCAACTTCATGGGCCTCGTGGGGAACCTCAGCCCCGAACTCAGCGCGCTCTCCGCTCTCACTACCATGTCAGTTCCGCCACCGCAACCATATCCCTCTCCATGTCATGTGAGCGCCTTCCTCCTCCGTCCGCGCTCACTTCCACGTCACTTCCACCATCACATCCCTCTGTATCCCTATACCGTCACTGCCATATCCCTCCCATGTCAGCACATTCCTCCTCCCTCCACTCTCGCTGCCACGTGTGTGCTCGCCCTATCATTCTCCTCCTTCTGTACACTCACCCCCATGTCAGTACCACCAATTTCCCCCTCCTTCACTCTCTCTCCTCCACTCGCTCCTCTACTCGTCCAAACCCTTTCCTCCTCTTCCAACCGCTCACCACCCATCTCAACTCCCTTTCACCACCACCAGAGACCTGGGAATGAATCTCTTCAACGTGGAGCTAAGCGAATTTGTCGCCCCGCTGCTGCAGATCAAATCCATTGCATACATGTACGTCAATCAAGCTCGTTACATCTACGTTACATTTAAAATAGAATTTCTATTTTCACCATTCAAGACTCCTACCATTTTTCCATTCCTAGCCCCCTAAGTAACCCACCATCACCCCCTCTTCCCTCTTCCCCCATCCCCACAGCGACCTGTCAAGTAACTACCTCTACGGCTCGGTCCCAGAAGCTCTCTTACTTATGCCCAACCTAGAACTCCTGTGAGCTCTTCACTCTTTCCATGCCTGCTTGTGTTGTTTTCCTGCGTCTGGTGTATTTACGCCTCTTTCTCCATTCCAAGATCAACTACTAGTCTCGCACATGTCAAATCTACAGCATATCAAATCCGAGCATGCCTCTACTACCCTTCCTCCTTTCACTCTCTTTCCCCTTTCCCCCCTTCTCCCTTCTCCCTTTCCCTCTCCTCTCCTTTTTCTCCCGTCTCCCCTCCCTCCCATCAGCTCCCTAGCCTCCAACTATCTCACCGGCGTTCTCCCGTCTCCTCCCTCCGTCACCCTGAGAACGCTCGACGTCTCGGGAAACTTCTTTGCTGGTTCCTTCCCCTCCTTCGCCTCACAACTCGACGAGTGCAGCGCGGGAGGCAACTGCTTGTCTTCTTCTGGGCACTGCTCATCGGGCGAGGGGGCGGGTGGGGAGCAGAGGGGAGAGGAGGCGTGTGCGGTGTGTGGTGGGTCAATGAAGTCAACGCAAGTCAACCTGTGTGGCGAGGGGAGAGTGTGTGAAGCAGAGATGGATACTGTTCCTGAATCAGAGGATGAGGCGGGGAGTGTGACTGTAACGATGGTGTGCCAAGACGGTAAGAAACTGAACGATTTATTATTATTATTATTATTATTATTATTATTATTATTATTATTATTATTATTATTATTATTATTATTATTATTACTGATTTTTTCTCCCCGTTCTGCCTGCCTTCAGCCTCTTTATCCACTGTAGTTCCTCATGTTAAAGGCCAATCAAACACACTCCCTTGTAACAAACTTCTCCTTTGTACCTCCCTCGTTCCTTCCTCTTTCCACGCGATTCCTTTCCACCTACTCACAGTTTCGGCTGCTGAGGATGAGGATGTGGGAGACGAGAGTGGCAATACCGACGGCTCTGAGGAGGGGGACAATGAAAGTGGTAATCACAGCAGCTCTGGTGATAGCAGCAGCAGCAGCAGCAGCAGCAGCAGCAGTGGTGGTGGTGGCAGCAGTAGTGATGAGAGCACTGGTGGGAGTAGTGATACTGCCTCCCAGGCGAAAAGCAGCGACAGCAGCACAAGTGGCAGCTCTGCTGTTGACAGTAGCAGCAGCAACAGTGGTACCAGCAGCAGCAGCAGCACTGGTAGCAGCGGTAGCAGCAGCAGTGGTAGCAGCAGCAGCAGCAGCAGCAGCAGCAGCAGCAACAGTGGCAGCAGCAGCAGCAGCAGCAACAGCAGGGAGTGAGGCGAGTGGGAGCAGCAGTCTAGTCAAGGATGCAGGCAGCAGTGGCAGTGGCGCTAGCACTGGGAGCGGTGGTGACAGTGACAGCATTATTGTGAGTGGCACTGATGCTAAGGGTGGCAGCGGCGGTGCTGAATCTGCGAAAGATTCTCCTGGAGGTGCTACTGAGGACAGCGAGAAGAGTAATGCTGATAGTGGTGCTAACAGCGGTGCTGACAGTAGTGCCAACAGCGGTTCTGACAGCGGTGCTAAAAGTGGTGCTGACAGCAGTAGTGAAGACAAGGAGGGGGACAGTGGAGAGGACAATACAGTTGCTGGACCGGAAGTCAAGGAAGGAGATGAGGAGGAGGGAGGAGAGGGGGATGGGAATGTTGACGAGGGAGGGGAGGAGGAGAGTGGTGAAGGGGAAGGGGACACGACGAGT